ATAAATAAATAAAATAGTTAAAACGTCAGGGTACGCATATTTTTTTTTGCTGACTGTACATACGTATTTTTGTTAGTGTATTTAAAATGAATTAAATTTGGATTCTTGGCAGTCGCAACTTCTAAAGTTATACAAAAGTTTATGCGCTTACCAACATGCATACATACACTATGCGACAAATGAAAGTGTACACCTTGTTCTAATAAAATATTCACAATTATTTTCATGAGAAATGTTTTGCATTAATTATAGTTCATTCTATAATATAAATCAAAGTTACACACTTTATATAAAGTTCATAAAAATTCATCAAAATATTCAACTTTTGATTCAGAAGTTATACAAATTTTCGAGTATGCAGTTTTGTAGCCCATTCAATTTTAGTCTAATGAAGTTCAAGTTCCAAAACGTTGATTTTTGAGAATTGTTTTTTTTTTTTGGTGGCGGATTTTTGCCGTTTTTACCATATAAGCATGAATTGCCTATGAAATAAAATGCGGAAGACCGTTAGCAACAAAATTTCAAGAAATCAACGCACTTGTTATATAAACAAAAAAAAAAACGCAAAAGCAGTCTCCAAAAAAAAAACCCTCAAAAATCAACGCGATTTTGTAGCCGGTTGAAACTTGCACTAAAAATTTAACGGGCTACAAAACTGCACACTCGAAAATTTTCTTGAAATTCTGAATAAAAAGTTGTAAATTTTGATGAAATTTTTTTGAATTTTTGTGAATTTTAAATAAAGTGTGAAACTTTGCTTATATGGTTATAGAATGAATAATGCAAAAAAATTTTCATTGAAATAATTGTGAATATTTTATTAGAACAAGGTGTACACTTTCATTTGTCGCCTACTGTACATATTTGAACATTCGCACATACATACATATGTTTGTATGTTTGCGTGTAAGTACACGTGTTTAAAAGTGTTTGAAAATTTTTGCATTTGCGCTCAATACGCTTTTTAAATGCAGCCCAACTTGTGTGCCTATTCTTCGCATTTTGTTTTGATTTAAATTTTTTTTCTTGCGCTGAATAAACTGCATCCTTTTTTATGTTGTTTTAAATGCTGCTGCATTTCTGTTATCCCCAGATATTTGAATTTAATGTAGCCGCGTCGTACTCTGCTTGCATTTAATAAATATAGAACTGGAATCTTCACAGCTGACGTGCGAAAAAAACTTTATTGTTTTGACTGTGCTTTTTAAAAGACCAGATCCAATTACTTTTCGTTGCTAAAGATATCTAAATTAGTTGATTAGACATAAAGCCACAACAAAAAAAAACGTTTAATGCACCTTAAAAATAGCACCTAACTTAGCAGTTCCCGTCGTCTAAGGGCATTTTAGAAACCCTCACTGGTGTGAAAGAGTTCTTATTAACATTTGGACTTGCGCTGTACTACGTCAATAATCTGCGCCGATTTGATGTTCAACTTTTGGTTAATGTTTGTCTCCGCACGAATATAGATTGCGGATATTTCCCCATAGAACCAGAAGATCACAGGCTGCACATTTGTCCTCGCCAGTGTCCTGCTCATGCCAAAGTGTGACGTATTGTCAAACGCTCTCTCTATATCAATAAAAGCACAAAGCGCTGTTTCGCCACATTCGAGGGCATCCCGATTTTCGGTTGTCAGTTGATACAGGACTGTGTGAGTGGACCTTCCAGCTCTGTATGCATGCTGACAAGGGAGTAGAGTCAGGTGGTCGCGGCCTGGCTTGCCGCTGAAACTCGGTACTTTTTTCTTTTTTTGCATTTTTCTCGAAACAACTTTTTTTTTAACTGAAAAGAGGCTCCAGGATGACTCATATGTTCGTCATTTTATCTACTTTTTTTTTTGGAAATTATTCTTAAATATTACCAAGACATATGCGGTCACTGTTTGTCAGACTTTCTGAATTATTCCGAATCAACTCTACGGCTCCTTTTTCTAATGCGGTATATCTTGATAACCATTAGTTGCTTTGGAGGGCACCCGTTACCTAAACCTAGTTTAATCCCTGAAGCTTAAAAGAGAACGACTTTTGGAAGGGATGTTCAGAGATGTATATTTTGCTTCAAAGAGGTAATTTACAAAGAAAAACAAACCCAATAATGTTGGCATAATTGGGGGTTTTGACACACTTCTAAAACTAATTTAATGGACTTAGGAGAGTCTTTATGATAAGCAGTTTTTTTTTACAATGTAGAGCATATGTATGTATATGAAACTCGTACATTTTTTCAGTCCAAATACATCGCTCTGTTCTTTTAATGGAATTAAATGCTATGCAACGTAAGAAATCAAATAATTTAATGTAATTTATGCGCTGACAGCCCAAAAGAATGATGTTTAGTGCTTGCTGTAAAAGGACATTTGCAATGCAACGAGTTAAGCGTTGCACTTTTACCAATGTTGCCTGATTTTTTTTTTGTTTTAACAAAATTTCCAAGAAAAAACTGAATTTTCAATAAAAAAAACTGTACACTTCAAAAAACGAAGGGATTCTTGGAAAATCAAGGATTTTAATTGCTTTAACCCTTTCGGTACCAGCGTACATAATATTGTACAAGCTATTGTGGTGCTTTAACCGCTTTTAAATGTCGAGAGAACAAATATTTTGGGTAAATTATAGCTATCTATCATTCTTCTTTATCGCGCTGTTTTAATTGAATCTTCTGGATGCTGTTGACCGTTTTTTATTCACAAAATTTGAAAAGTCTCACAAAAGTCGATAGTGAGCATGTAACCTATTGAAAAAAATTCACGTTTATTTTTTGTGGAATTGAGATTCGATAAAAGTTTTTAATATTGTTCATGGTTTTTGAATATATTTCGCGAAAGAAAAATATAAAAATAATTGAGATCACTTGCTTTTTTAAACACCTAGTCAACTTTCTCTCTCATATAATGTACGCTGAATAACGGTAAAAATAGAGGTTTATAAATATATTTATTGTGTTTTTAAAATCCACGACGCAAAGTTAGCCGATATACAAATTTTCAGACTTTTAGCTTCAGCGGTTGAATTTTTGTACTGAAAGGGTTAAGCATAAATAACAACAAGTAATTTTTAAGCAAAAGAAACACCACCGACTTCTGTGCTCAAATACAAATTTCGGAATACCGTTAGTTTATTTATGATCCAATGATCGGAACTAAACCAAATTGGTATTGGACCATACTTGAGGTACCACCTTCTGCTAAAAAAAAAAAAAGAATTATCGAAAACGGTTCTTGTGGTCCAAAGTTATCCGGCAACATACATACATTGTCTGACGAATTGATAACCTGCTCCTTTTTATGGAAGTCGGTTAAAAAATAATAATTTAAAATTAAATAACTGTTAATTTTACATAATAGTTACGTAACTTCACAAAAAAGCCTATAAAATGGAACATTTAAATTTCATTATTTTTCGTAATTTGATTTGTAAATTCTTTGTATACAATTCGACCTGAAATTCAGTACAAACAATATTAAGCAGCTTGTAAGGGCTCTTTAAGTTTTAAATGAATACCACAAAGTGCTGGAATTTCTAATTGATTCTTCATTTGGGTTTTATTCAAATTGATTGGAGGAAAATGTTCTTTCAACATTTGCAAAGAGCAGCTGAAAGCATTTTTATTTTCAAATGGAGCACCACTTTTTTTCTATCTTACAAGTTTACTTAAAAAAAAAAACTGAGATATTTTAATTTATTCCTTCAAATTTGAAATTTTGAAAAACTAATTTATGCTAACTGTGAATATGGCAACACTGACTTCTATACAAATAAATAAGCAGTCACTTTTTATGGCACGTTTACATGCATTGTATTTACTTACACTCACAGCAAAAAGTTTTGGTACGGAGAATTTTTCACAATATATGGAACAATTTTTATTTTAATTTTTTTCCGGTAATTTTCTATAAAAAGGTGGTACTACAACAAAAAACATAAAAATATAATTTCTAAACTTTGTGCGAAACTGAAAATAAAAACTCAAAACATTTTCATGCAAATTTTCAACTTTTAAATAAGATTTTTTAGAATTTCTAATCAAAATTCAGTATTATAAAAAGCAAGTTTGAAGTTGATAAATTTGGTGTTGGTTTTTGAGATTTTTTTGAGCCGTTTTGCATTTTTTTTTTCGAAATCTGTTTTGTATGGATGAAAATGCGTGAAAAAATTGCCAAAAATCAATGCTTATTCAAACTTGGTCTCTATTATAATAAAATTTAATGGCCTACAAAACTGTAATTTTGCATGAAATTTTTTTGAATTTTCCTGAATTTTGCTGAGACTTTGGAAATTATATTTTTATATTTTTGTTGTATTATGAACCATATTTTTATAAAAAATTAGCGAAAAAATAATTTATAAAAATTGAATATACATATGTTCGTATTGTGAAAAATTCTCTGTGCCAATACGTTTTGCCGTGAGTGTATGTACGAAGTATGTAGTATAATATCCATAAACTACAGCAACAGTGTTTATTTATTAATTTTTTGGTTTTGTATAAATTCATTTTCCTCGTTCCAACCTTTGCAATATTCACTAAAAGTAATTTTCGTGCTCGTAAAACTGCACTGAACCATGAAGGTAATCAATTTCCCACCGAGCGGCCAACCGGCCGGCCACAAGAAACACCCAATTTCGTTATACAGCCAAATTGAGTAGGAAATACGACGTTGATTCGTGCCAAGATAGCAGCACCACACTACAATCCACAACGTTCATCAGCCGCAGCAGCAGCACGGCAAGACAAACTTGTATGCTTCAATGAGTTTTAAGTCTCTATTTCGGATTGTTTCTGCATTTCATTTGCCCGATTGGGTTTCTTATTGAAACTTATGTACTCTGCCTCAACGATTCGTTCGACCGAAATTCAACTAGTAAACAAAAAACTGCTAGTACATTTTCAACGTTTTTCCAATATACAATTTTCAATGTAGTATTTCAATTGATTTTTGATTTTCCATTTTGCACTTTTTCATAGATACTAATTCGCTGCTCTCATTCGTATTTCAGACGTTGCAACTGAAGCAACCAACAGCGACATCGCAAGTGAAGCAAGTGACATCACAAACACAGAAAAAGCTAACAACAAGAAAGCATTAGGAAAAGATTTATTTAACCCTTCTGCAGCAAAACAACACAAAAATAAAAATACTGTCAAACATTGCACGTCAACATTATCACCACCACCAACCGCATCTCCAGCTTTCAACATTCATCTCATTTAATTTTTGGCAAATCAATAAAATCCTTTAATTGCCAACATCATGACTGAGGATACAGAATACAAGAAATTACCGGTAGACGAGCGTTGCGTGCACAAATTGTGGAAGGCACGCGTCGATGGCTATGAGGAAGCAGCCAAAATTTTTCGTGAAATTGACGATGAAAAATCACCAGAATGGATGAAATTCTTAGGCCTCATAAAAAAGATGGTCGTCGACTCGAATGTTGTTGCACAGGAAAAGGGTCTTGAGGCGGCATTGATATTTGTTGAGAATTGCGGTCAAGCCGGCAAGACAGTGGGCGATGTTATGGCTGGCATTGTGCAGAAATGCATTGCTGCGCCCAAAGCCAAAACTAAAGATTTGGCAGTGCAGATAACGCTCATGTATATTGAAATAGAGAAGCAAGAGGCCGTCATAGAGGAGCTTGTGAAGGGTATGGAGCATAAGAATCCGAAAATTGTTGCTGCCTGCGTGTCGGCCACAACATTGGCACTACGTGATTTTGGCAATAAAGTTGTGAGCGTTAAACCGATGATTAAGAAATTGGCACCGTTGATGAGCGATCGTGATAAGACAGTGCGCGATGAAGGCAAACAGTTGGCAATTGAGATTTATCGGTGAGTGTGAGCGGTGACAAGTTGGTGTGGAAATTAATGTAAAAATTAATTATTCCGCTTCTCTTCTTGCAGCTGGATTGGCGCCGCCATGAAACCACAAATCACCTCATTGCCGCAGGTCACACTCAAAGAGCTAGAGGATGAATTTGACAAACTCAAAGGAGAGAAGGCTGAACCAATAAGGTGAATTTGAAGAATAACTAGCTAGCTTTTGAGGTGTTTAAATTAATAAATTGTTTGTATTTGCTTTACTTCTTCAGATATTTAAAATCGCAGCAGGAAAAACAACAACAGATTTCTGCTGCTGCTGCCGAGCACGATGAAGCAGGCGACGGTAACTATTAGTTATTTTTACTCAATTTAATTTTTTTTTAAATTATGTACCCCGGACTTGGCTCTTTGACTATCGAATTCGATTAAAGTTATTGCTCCAACAAAGTAAACTACCTACTGTATATGTATATGTGAGTTATGTAGCTTTATCTGATATCAACCAGCGTTGATACATCATTGTAAACCCGGCGTGCTCTACGGCGATTCCTACAAATTCAAAATCGACTACGTGATTTTAAGTCCTCTATCTAAGTTATTTATATATTTATATAAGTTTATGAAATCGTCGGTTGGTTTAGCTTTGAGGTATTCTCTGCCTATTTAGTTATTGTCTCTTAATTGATATCATAGGCTCGATTATTTCTTCAGTTAAATTTTAAATTAAAAACTCGTCTACCTAGTAAAGAACGTAGAGTTGTATAGCAAGTATCGCCGTTATGCGGAAGTTGATCAAATATAATATCAAAGATACTGCCAGTATTCATATTAAAAGCTAAATCGGTCTTGGTAAAAATAATTTTATTTCTGAAATTCAAGTATGATGAATTTGAAATGTATTAGAGACCAGACCCTCAAACAGAATATTCTCCTTTGCCTCAACGTAGGATCATTCGAAATTTGTTAAAACGTGGTATGACAGTTTTCGCAGTGTATTTGGAAAATGCGAAGGCATAAGCCACGAGCATAATTTTTAATGACTTGAGATCCCTCATCCGACTATAAATTCTTCTACAGGCCATCATTGATCCGTCAAGCTTTACTAAAAGTCTTATCAAGGTAGAAGTTCTAATCCAATTTTCAAGAGTGATACACACCAGTTAAGTCTGTATATACAGCAGGCAATCTCCTGTAGAATGATTAAAAGTTCATCTACCACAATCAAGACATTTATGGCACCAATGGTTGAGTGATCTATGATACGTTGGATCATTGCCCCTAAGATTGATGCGTAGACTGCAGAAACTAGTAAACTTTTAGAGGCATAAACATAAATGAGTCATTGGGTCTTATCAATAAAAACTTACCAATTGCTTTTTCCTAAAATTTCAGACCTTCTACTTAAATTTATTTGAAGAACTCGAGTAATGGGTATTAAAATTTAAGAAAAGCAGTTGTTTTAGGCTCCTATTTCGGAATGTTAGATTTTAAAAAAGATATGGTCGTATTTGCCTCAGGAATTTGCTGAAAAATTGGCTGTAATGGAAATTTGGAGAAATGGAGGAAACTACCAAACTTATCAAAAGTTGTTCCCATTAAACAGATGTTAAAAGTATCAAATAAAAGTTCATTTGTCTTTTTAAGTGGGACGGCTCTTACTAAATGTATGTATGTCATTGAAGTGATCTTGATTTGTAGTGCAATAACTACACTTACGCTAAAGGTTAATTTCCGCCAGTAATATTTTCCAAATTGGCCAGCACGTTTCTCTTTAAATGTCTCTTAACACTGAGATCATTCATTGCATTAGTTGTTATTAAAAAATCTATATTACAATATATCAGTGTATGAACCGCTTTAGGTTGTCGATGTATGGTTATCGATATATTGTTATCGATCTATTAATCGATATTTTATCAATTAAATTTTTGATGGTGTTGTTATCGATCTATTAATTGATTACGAATGTTGATATTAATCTCTTAAATATGTTGTCGGTACATTATTCGACGTTGTTATCGATATTTATTGATATTGTGACTGACTATTCACATCGTTTATCGTTTGCTTGCATACATATTTCTATAATATTGAAAGCTTACAGCTATAGCGTCAAAATTCAGATACTCAAACCAAAGAGATTTCCTCTAAGTCACTTCTTATGTAGCCTGCGCAATACCGGCAAATATTTGATCATCTTTTTGATAATTTTTTTACCTATAAAAGATTTTTAGTGTATATTTTTCAAAATAAAACAATTAATCAGAAATCTTTTATTTTCTGGTTCATTAGCCGTTACTTTTGCAGCATTTGCAACCCTAAAAAATTTCCGTTTACTATTTCTTGAAAGAATTGCGCTTCCGCAATATGCGCGCACCCACCTAAATGAGCTCAACATTTAAAAAAAAAATAAATAAAATTAGCTAAAGTGATTTAGGAAATTTGATATTCATCATTATCGCAGCTATGCACATCTTTCTACTAATGCACATATACAAACATACATACCTACATATATCAATTATTTTCCTGATATTAGCAATACGATAAATATGCGCGGAAATGCCTTCTTCGCTCAGCTTAATTGCCACTTTGTCACGCAACATTGGGCGCATTGGCAATTCGTCTATGCTACAGTGAAATTAATTTTCCTCATACGTAGCCACACCCCAAAAATCACAAGTTTTCGCACCTTTTATTATATTGTTTTTTTTATAATCTTTGCTTTGCTTTTGCTTTGTAGATGAAGATGGCGAGGGTGAAGAGGCCATTGATCCTATGGATCTCATCGATCCAGTTGATATACTCTCAAAGATGCCTAAAGATTTCTATGATAAATTGGAGGAGAAGAAGTGGACGTTGCGCAAGGAATCCTTGGAAGCACTCGAGAAGCTTTTGACAGAGAATCCAAAATTGGAGAATGGCGAATATGGCGTGTTGGTCAGTACACTAAAGAAAGTCATCACAAAAGACACCAATGTGGTGTTGGTTGCAATGGCCGGAAAGTGTCTGGCGATGTTGGCCAATGGATTGGGCAAGCGTTTTGGCACCTATGCAATGGTATGTGTGATATAGTTACAATGTTTTCCAATGAAACCTCTTGCACAAAAATATGAAATCCTTCAGCAAATTTCTATTAACTTCCCTTTACCTTTGCAAATCTCCAATTAACCAATTTCTCCCATCAGGCCTGCGTTCCCTCTCTACTGGAGAAATTCAAAGAGAAGAAGGCAAATGTTGTTGCTGCGCTGCGCGAGTCCATGGACGCTATCTATCCATCCACGAATTTGGAAGCCATGCAGGAGTGCATCGTCGAGTCGTTGGGCAACAAAAATCCTAACGTCAAATCTGAGACAGCTTTCTTCCTTGCGCGTGCATTTGCGCGCACTCAGCCTACTGCGCTAAATAAGAAACTGCTCAAACTCTATGTGACCACACTAATAAAGACGTTAAATGAACCCGATCCTACTGTACGTGACGCCTCAGCAGAAGCTTTAGGCACTCTACTCAAACTAATGGGAGAAAAATCTGTTGGACCTTTCCTAATTGAAGTCGATGCTCTTAAAATGGCAAAAATTAAGGAATGCCAGGAGAAGGCTGAGATTAAGATAAAAGTGGTAGGCGTGAAGAAGGAACGCCCTGCTACTGCGCCGGCGTCAAAAACATCTGTGGCAGCCGCCTCATCAGCTGGTAATGTTGGTTCAGGTGCATCGTCTCGCAGCGGCTCCACTGAACCGAAATCCGTGTCGCGTCCTGCTACGGCTGGCGGCAAAAAGTCGGGTGTTAAACGCGTAGCAGGCGGTGGCAGTGCAGCACCACTTTCCAAATCCGCTAGCAGCGCCAAAGTGTTGGCCACTGAGCGCGAGCTGCCTTTGGAAGAAGTGCAGGCCAAGGCTGAGGAATTGCTGCCGCCAGATGTGCTCTCCGGTTTGATAGATACGAATTGGAAGAATCGTTTAGCAGCTTGTGAGAATCTCTTGCAAACTATAGGTGACTTTGACGCCAAGCAAACTGGATTGTCGCAGACACTTGTCCGTACGGTTAGTGCACGCAAGCCGGGCTTAAAGGTATGTTTTGATTCGACTTTTTCGAAATGTTTTTGCTTATTTATTAATCTCTGCTACGCACTTGGCAGGAGATGAATTTCCAAGTGCTGAAGCATAAACTTGACATCATTCGCATTGTTGCTGAAACTTACCCGCTTACAACAACCACAACTGATCTTGTTGTCAATGAAGTGACCGAAAAGTTGGCCGACATTAAAAATGGCGCCACAGCCGCTGATGTACTCACCGCCTTTGCTGAAGCCACCAAGCTGGAGCACATTGTAGGACGCGTACTTACCTTCGCCTTTGATCAGAAGTCGCCGAAAGTGCAGTCCGAAGCTTTGAATTGGGTAAGCAAGGCTATACTGGAATTCGGTTTTCAATTACAACCCAAGCTGCTGCTCGAAGACGTGCGCAAAGCAGTGCAAAGCACAAATCCTACTGTGCGTGGTGCTGCTATTTGCCTGCTCGGTACCATGTCCTTGTATATGGGCAGCACACTAATGATGTTCTTTGAAAATGAGAAGCCCGCCTTAAAGTCACAAATTCAAACTGAGTTGGATAAGAGTGCTGGCGAAAAGCCACCAAAACCAGTGCGTGGCGTTAAGAAGTCAGCTGGCAACGCAGGCGGTGCCGCAGTTGATGCCGAGGACGACGCCTGTGATGAGGATGAGGCGCAGGAGCAAATGAATTTGGCTGATATGTTGCCGCGCATTGACATTGCACCGCAAATTACCGAGACGCTCTTGAAGGAGATGTCCGACAAAGACTGGAAGACACGCAATGAAGGCCTAAATAAACTGCAAACCATTATTCTTGAAGCTAAATTGATTAAGCCCACAATTGGCGATTTAGCGCCGGCACTTGCGCATCGCCTGCTCGATTCGAATGCAAAAATCGCGCAAACCGCCATGTCTATTTGCGAGCAGCTAGCCAATGCCATGGGCTCGAGCTGTAAGAATCATGTTCGAACATTATTTCCCGGTTTCCTGCACGCGCTGGGCGACAACAAGCCTGCTGTGCGCGCCGCTGCCCTGAGTTGCATTAACAGTTTCGGCGAGAAGGGTGGCTACAAAGAGTTCTTTGAGAGCGAAATGATTGCTGATGCACTGAAGACTGGTTCGCCCGCGCTCAAATCGGAGCTATGGGGTTGGCTGGCCGAGCGTATGCCTCAAATGCCACCAAAATCGATATCCAAAGAGGAGTTAACCTCGATGGTACCACACTTGTATGCGCACATCTGTGATCGCAATGTAGACGTGCGCAAAAATGCAAACGAAGCCGTTTTAGGCATAATGATACACCTCGGTTTCGAGAGTATGGTCAAAGCGCTCGATAAACAGAAACCCGCCTCAAAGAAGGATATACAGGCAGCATTGGATAAGGCACGTCCGAATCTTCCAATGAAACCGTTGCCTAAAGGCAAGCAGCAAGCGCCAATTGAAGAGCCGACAAAGAAAGTAGTGCGTGGCGGCGGCGGTGGCGCGCAAAAGAATGCTGCAGCCAAGGGCGGCGCTGCTGGTGCTGGTGATAAAACCGGCGCCGCTTCGTCACGCAAAAAGGAGGAAGATGTTGACACATCGCCGTTGCTGGCAGTCAATAATTCTAAAAATCAACGGTTGATTGATGAACAGAAAATGCGCGTACTCAAGTGGACATTCACAACGCCACGCGAGGAGTTCATCGAGCTTTTACGCGAGCAAATGACCACGGCCAATGTAAACAAAGGACTAATGGCCAACATGTTTCACGATGACTTTAGGTGAGTGATCCGGAAAATGCTGAATATTAGCAACCTAACTATAAAGTACCTTTAATTTCCTTTCAAACCAAGAAGGGTAATAAAAAACTGTATTCCTTTGTTTAAAGCCTGTTCCGATCTAATGAACAAATTTTCATTCTTCTTTGTTTCGTTACAAACATTTCTACTATTCGGCTATTTCTGAAACAGGTACCATTTGAAAGTTATCGAGGCTTTGAACGAAGATTTGCCCAACAACAACAAGGCATTGGTCTGCAATCTGGATTTAATATTAAAATGGCTCTCGCTGCGTTTTTACGATACGAATCCTTCGGTTTTGCTGAAGGGTCTCGAGTATCTCAATCTGGTTTTCCAGACATTGGTCGAAACGGAGTACATACTCGCTGAAAACGAAGGTAGCGCATTCATACCACATCTGCTACTGAAGGTCAGAATACGCCAAAACTACTTTTCTATTAGCAAATTAATTTATTTAACTTATACATATTCGCATTTCTGCAGCTCGGTGATCCCAAAGATGCTGTGCGCGTTGGTGTGCGGTCGCTTCTACGTCAAATACTACTCGTCTACCCCTATACCAAAGTATTTGTGTACGTTATGGATGGACTTAAATCAAAGAACGCCCGTCAACGTACCGAATGCTTAGATGAGCTTGGCTATTTGATTGAAAACTATGGCTTAACGGTATGTCAGCCGTCACAACAGGTAGCATTGAAGGAGATTGCGCGTCACATTTCCGATCGTGACAACTCTGTGCGCAATGCGGCATTGAATTGTGTAGTGCAGGCATATTTCTTGGCTGGCGAAAAGGTCTATAAGCTAATTGGTCAATTGAATGAGAAAGATCTGTCCATGTTGGATGAGCGTATAAAGCGCGCTAAGAAAACGCGTAAACCAGCACCAGCTGCGGCAGACACTACAACAGCGCTTGTTGGTGTTGGTGGCGGCGCTAAAACAAGTGCGCAGGTGGTGCAACAGGATAGCATAGAAATCGATGAGCCGGCAACGAATGGCGCATGCGATGAGCTGCCACCGCCAGACGAGCAGCCAACGCCGGCAGCAAGGTGAGTGCTGTGGCAGTGAAAGTACAATTAATGGCCAAATACGTGTGCGTGTTTAAAAAAATTTCAGGTAGAAGAGAGTGAGATGAAAACAAGTGCCTAAAAAAATGGCAATTGACGAGTGCGCTGCTAAGGCGTTGTGAAGGCTGTGTGCTTTTTTTGTACATATGTACATATGTATATAAAATATTTTTAATTAGTTATATTACTTGCAATGACATAATAAAAAACCAGAATGCAGAGCCCCTTCACAACGTCTCAGCATTGAGCTGACAGCTGCCAGCTGCCAGCGCCATCGCCATCGCTATATTGATTGTTGTTTTTATTCGCTCACTTTTCCAACTACAATTTCCTTAACCTTTCGACAGTCCCTAATAATCGTTTACATTTTTATTGTATTTGGCATAATAAATGCTTATAAGTATGTATAATAACTAAACCAAAGCAAAAAAAAAAAAACTAAAGAAAAATTATTACTAAATTTTTAACAATTCTTTTCTTAATAATTGTAGTGCTGCTCTTCTTCCTCGTTTTGCTAAACTCCATTATTATAATTTTTTAAAATTCACATTTTATTGCTCTGCTGATCTCTAACGTAACTGATGAGAATATAATAACTAAAAAAAACATCCAAAACAATTAATGTTTTAATTTTCACCTCCATAGTGTGCAATTGCAATCGAATGCGAATGAAGCAAATGCCAGTACGGAAGCAAAAGACAAGCGCGCCTCTTCGCTCATAAGACAAGCGTAATTCCCTTTTTAACATTTTCTACTTTTTATTATTTATTTTTTAACTATTTTTTATTTTAAGTTGCTTTTTATTTTTGTATTATTATACAGCTTGTAATTTTTTCGTTATTATACACATATTTCAATAATCTTAAATTATGGTACTTGGTATTAACACGCAATATATTTAACTGGAACTAACAGTCGCACATCACACTAATCATCTTTGTATGTACTGACAATTTGCTGAAATTTTAGTGCAATCTTGCTTAATGCCGAGTTTAAACTTGGCATGCAAATGGCAAAAGTGCCATATGGAAATAAACTCAATGACTATTTTTAATTTCTTAATAGCATAAGTGCAAGAAGATTTATGAGTCATATACCAAACAAGTTTTTTGGGTAGTTGAGTTTCGTATCCTATTTTTCCACCAAAATTTTCGCGGCCGGTTTTCGTGTTTATGCTGAATTTCGATTTGTTATTTTCTACTGGGATGTAAAAATACATGCCTCATTTCCACTGGGCATTTAAAGTACGAGAATTATTTACGATTTAACAAATGGTACATTGAAACGAATTTAATAACTATATCTTATCGAGTTTGTCCCTTTAATATCCAGTAAAAATCCGGCATTAATATAACGAACACATATCCAGAAAGCAATGCTTTTCAATAAATATTCAATATTCAAATATTTTCAATGACAGACAGCCTACGTATTTTGAAACTCTCTCTTCAACGAAAATCGTCTGTTTATAGTAGGTCTGCGAGTTCTATCCGAAATTTTTTAGTATCCGGATAACCTCGATATTCGAATAGCTGATAAATAAACCCGAATATCCGGATTTTCATATCTAAAAATGAAATAAAATGACAAGTGTCGTGTTTTAATGAAGTGTTCTGTTATTTATTTGCAACTCAATACTTTCAGAAATTTTGAGAACAATCTCATTAATAATCAATGAAAAATAGCTGAAATTTGAATGTTTAAAATTCTTCCTCCTTTTCTGGCAGTTTTACAGTTATAACCATCTTTCCCGCAAAAGCAGTCCGGGCGACGTCGGGGTAATGAGAAGCAAAAATTATTCTCTCAAATTGGCTCTCAACGGCCCGAGAACCAACCATAGAAACACAAATTGGGCACTTTCGGGCACCCGCGGGCGAGCAAAAGAACAGACTTGGTGTTTAGAATATCCGGTTATCCGGTTAACCATTTGTATAATAACCGGATATCCGGATTTTAGCCGTATACACTAATAAGAACGATCTTTTTTGATACCATCGGACCTGTTCTTGTTTTTGATTTCCAATAAACTTTCTCAACTGAATTTGACCGACTTTTCAGGTTTTCACAAAGCAGGTGCGTTTCTAATTCGAATTCCTTTGTAAAATTGTAGTCGTAGATGAGTCAAGGAATTGAAAAAATTTCCACATTCTGGAATAAAAATTTCTTTGTTTTTTCTTTTCAATTTGCAAATAAGACCGTGTTAAAAAAGACCTATTTGTGATTATTTGTGATGCTAAATCATATCATTAAAAAATGTTGCATACTTTAACAAAATATATGGCATCTGGTATAAAATCTTGCCAATATGATATACATACATATGTATGTACATATGATATGTAAATGTTTCGATCGCTTCTTCGGATATCTTCATTTCTCGAACAGTATTACTAGAAGAGGACTTGATATAAATTTTGATGAAAATTGGACAAAAAATAACAAGAAAACGGCGTTCAAAATGTAGAAAGGCTAAAAAAAGTATGTCTAATTACATTAAATTAATAAAATTATAGTTTAAAAAACTAAAACCGCGCTATTATAATTTCCATTCCTACTGTCATCAGGTATGTAACTTGAGAATATGAATCGCTGCATCTTTTAAGCGCATCAATATTACATAGTTACATCCCGAGCTAATAAAGGGAGGTAAAAAGATTCATTTAAAAAAATCGGTTAAAGAGGAAATTTGCCATATTCATCCCCAGTTTATCCAATCAAATTTAAAATTTATCAGGCTGTTAAAATGTAAAATGACAAATTTTCCGAACAAAATTGTGTCGTTTTAAACTTTAACAGGCTGATAAATTTAAAAGTGGTGGGTACAACCGGACATCACAGTTTCAACTATAAATAACAATTTTTAGACAAGCTTACGGTAAATTATCTTCTCGTGTTGAAAGAATAAATTAAAATATCTCTTTTGGATGTAAAGTTTTAAGAGGAGAAGATGCGATGGAGATGCAGTAACTCCACTTTGAATAAAAATAGGTCAGATGTATTCCAATCATAGGGTTAGCAAGTAATTTTTAAGCAAAAAACAAAACCGACTTCAATTCTCGTATAAAAATCTAGGAGTACCGTTAATTTCTTCATGATCCAAAGATCGGATTCAAACCCAATTAGTATGAGACCTCCTTTGAGGTACCATCTTCCCGGTAAAAAGGGTTGACGAAGTTCCACGTTATAAGGTAGCATACATGAAAAACAAATATTGCGACGAATTTATTATTTTAACATTCAAAGAATCTATTCGTTTTTAAATTTACAGTTTTTATGTTGAAAATACAGTTTTTTCTGGAAATTTACAGTTGTTAGAAAATAAAATCTGGCAACTGCTGCATACATACATAAAAGTTGATGAATTGCGAAAATTGCATTAGTTTTCTGAAAATATTAGGTCGTATTTTTTATAAAATTATTTTTTATCGATATGTTTCTTCATGTAATTATCGCTATTTTAATCAAAAAATGCGTCTTCATAATCGTTATCGAAATACATTTGTCGATATCGTTGTTAACGGACTACATTTATCGATACCATAGTTATCGGAATGCATTTATTGATATCACAGTATTGTTATCGCGGGAAAATAGGGGAAAATAACCATTAAATACCATAAGTTTCATTTTTAGATCATTGCAAAATCGCTATTTTTAACCGACTTCAAAAAAAGTCGAAGGTTATGAATTCATCGGAATCTTTTTTATGTATGTTATCGGATAACTTTGCGTAACGTGATCCGTTTTCGATGATTCTTTTTTATTGGAAAGGGGTTGATATTGAAGAATGTAACGGTACACCTAAAGTTTTATATATACTTTGAAATTTCTTGCTTGATTTTTATTTTTTGAATCAAGAAAAATCGTTAAGTTATAATTTTTTTTTTGGGTAAAAAAGTAAGGTTTTTTTTTTTTTTTAATTTTAACCGTTGTAATGAAGACTGCATTTTTGTGACCTTTTTAAATCCTTTATAATCTAAAAAATTAAATCGGAAAATAACGGTTATGGAATGATCGAAAGAAAATCATAAAAAAATAAAAGATTAAATTTGATGGGAAAAATAAATATCCATTTTAGTGGTTAAATTTTGATTTTTGTTCTAAAGATCATAACCGTAATGGTCCTTGCGAAAAATAAGTATTGGCAGGTCTCACAGTTTTGCTAAGTCGAGACTTTCGAATTCGTGTTGTACGTCTGGTTGCCGCTCAAATGCAGGTATACAACTACAGTTTTAAGCAGGATACGAACGCCGAACAATATTTTCAAGAAGGTTTTTAATTACAAAAATTTACTTATAAAAATTGCTAGTCGAGGGGCAAGCTCTTCTATAAAGAATGTTGTATTATTATTTTTTTTGTATACTTTTGGACGTCAACTCAGTAGTATTCGGCAAATTTTTTTGTGTAATTTTCATGCTGGTCCAGACTCAGTTATTTCATTTGCCATTCTTTTCTCTACAACTTTGACCTCTACAGAGTTTTTTGGATCTTGGTTTCTCTTATGAGTTTCTTTCGTTGGTTTAAGTCCTTGCACAATTCTTTGTAATTCGGTATATTGGTCGTTGCACCGCTGTCTGCAATTTCGAAATTTTTTTTTTAGTCACAAATTTTACATTAATATAACTTAGCCAACTTTTTCTCATTGTAAATAAAACTTCGTGAACTTATACTTACATATGTACATATGAATACATATATGTACATGCTTATGCAGATATTTTAACTTATTGTATGTTACTTCTGAATAATTTTATTTATGCTTAAATATTACATTTTTTATTTGGTGTTTACCTTTGTTAGCGGTTTGGAAATTATTTTTCAACTATTTTAGCTTACTAGTTTTTGCTTTATTTCGCTTCGGCTTTATTTTTATTTTATTTGCTGTTCACCATTTCATTTCGTATTTTAATATACTTACATATATGTACATATGTATGTATTATTTTTTGCTTTATCCAATTCGTTTTTGTGTAAAATTTCTTTTTAACTGTCGAGATTACTGCTTGTGTTTGTTTGGCGCCAACACTATTTTCGCTTGTCTTGTTTTAAAAACACTGCACAAATCACTGCGAAAATCAAATCATAACATTAAAAGTTTGACAAAAAATCTAAATAAATATTTCAAAAGCAAAAATTGAAATTTATTTCAAAAGTTGCCTAGAACATTTATATGTATACTGTTGGGGAGTAAATAATCGATTTTTATCAATTGGCCTTATCGCCAATTCCATGTGTTTGTTTGTTATATTTCCAAAAATTATAAAGCAAAACAAAAACATTTTTTTATAACCGAGCGCACTTGTGCACAACTTAATGACTACAAAGGTGTATCTCGGTAACCACTTTATCGATTTCTACCAAACTATGTTCAATTAAATCATTAAGTCTAACATAGCATATTTTCGAAAACGTTTGCAATAGGGGAAAACACCCCTGCTTAACATGCAAATGCAGTTTAGAGAATGTTGAAACGACCTGCACCGGGTATATAAAGGTCGGTTTCGCCCGAACTTAAAGCTCAGTTATGCAAGACTAAGACATGACTTGACTTGAAAATCGTTTATCTGGCAAATGAGCAGCTAAAGGTTCGACGTCACTGTACTAAAATTTAAAGGGCTATAAAACTGCGTATTCAAAAAAATTAAAAAAATTTGATAAAAAATTTGAAAATTTAAATGCATTTCGCAGAATTTTTATATTTTTTTTTTTAATTTTTGGAAAATGTGGCAACTTCGGAGGTACCACTTTTCCTTAAGAAAAAATTATTATAGAAATCGGTTAACGTGGCCAAAAGTTATACGGTAACATACATAAAAAAAAAAAATAAAATAAAAAAATATTCCGAGGAATTGATAACCTCCTCCTTTTTTGGAAGTCTGTTGTTAAAATGTCGTGCCCCTATTTATTTTTCCACCACTGTTTATATTTATTTCGAAAAAAATAATAATAGATCGGCGCTTACAAATAAGTTAGTGTTTGGCGGTCGAAATTGCTTTGCAAAAATACCTTAGACTCAGAAGTGTGCGGCGAACTTTTTTTGTTTGCTACTATAATTTAATGGGCTATAAAACTGCATACTCAAAAAAAATTCTAAGAAATCTGATTAAAAAGTTCAAAATTTAGATGCAATTTTTGCGGAACTTTTATAATTTTTGCACAAAGTGTTAAATGTAAATTTATATGGTTTTTGTTGTTCATAAAAAAAATAATGAATATTAAATAAACAAAAGAAAAATAGGAAAAATTTGTTAAAATGTCGTGTCCTTATTTATTTTCCCCCCACTGTATATTTCGATCGAATATATTCTCGCTAATAAAATATACCTTCATTACTAATAAGTATCGAAAATTTCGTTTTTCGACTAAAGCGATTTATTTTTCTAGAAATTTTGCACAAAAATACAAAATATTTCCTTTATTTTGCTATACATGACTAACATTTGGAGTTTCATAGTTGCATAAACATCCGTCGTTATATTTGAAATGCATTTCAGCCGACCCATGTCACATGTAAATATGTATACATTTCATTTATTCTCATAAACAATCAACTCGCGTCGATTCAACCCCGTTCTCCCCGCTCTTTTGTCCGTCCAATCAATGCATTACACCCAACAAAAATGAAAAATTGCATTTGCTGTAGTTAATCGCACTTAATTGTTTCTACAAACAAATAAATACAAACAATTTTAATTGACTTTCCTTTCTCGTGTCTTATTTCTTTTTTCCTTCGCTCCAATCGCAACGACACATACAGAACTTTCGATCAGCCTGCAACTACACAATACCTATATCAACCGTCGAAACCGAGCGGCCCCTTCGGCCTTGACCCCGATGTTATATCCGAAATAGAAAAGGGTTGGGTGCGTGTCGATCAAATGCAATCGGTGGAAGTGCCGCGTGTCGATGTGTCATTGCTCTTCGAACCCATCAAGATCATACCGACACGCGACGGTGTACAATATCCGCAGGAGAAATTCGAGCAACTTATTTCGCGTTCGCACTATATGCAACAGGCAGTGCACAATACACCGCCACCACCATCGGCTGCGTCGAGCGGCGGTATTGGATCGCCTTACATGAGTCCACAACAGCATTTGCATCATCAGCAGCAGTTGAATGCGGCCGTTTATGGTAGTGGTGGTGGCGGTGGTGGCGGTGTCAGTTGTGGCAGCAGTGGCACGAAGTAAGTCCGGTGAAGAAAGTGGGATAGGATGAAAAGATAAATATCAACTTTTTTTTTTAGTTTATATTATATTTGTTTTATTTTACTTATTTTATCGTAATATAATTTTTTGTTAAGTTCTATTTAATTTTTTTGTGATATTTTATTAAAATTTTTGTTATATTTCAGTAAATTTTTTATAATATTTTATGTAGTGTCTTATTTTATTTTATTTTATTTGTTTACTTACTGTTCTTGTGCCATGCTCAAATCTATGTTTTCTCATGTTCCGCACAATTATTATTATCTTTCCAGCATTGTTGATGTTCTACCCAAACATGATCCTCAACTTATTAAAATGATCAAAGCAATCAGCAGCGCTGACACCTTAAAAGCACGTGCTGCGATTAGTGAACTTGCCGAAATAATTGATTCACCCGAGAAGCAGGCTGTACTACGCGACTATGAGGAGATTTTCATACAAAATGTGCTCGCACAGTTCAAGGTAGATTTAAAATATTTACAAAAATTTTTTTATAAAAAATCTATGTTATCATTTCATTTTCATTTGCCCTCGCTCTTGCTTGTTGGCAGAATCTATCACAGGTGCCCATCACCGAATCGCTTGTCGTCTATCAACCGCTACTCTCCATACTCTACTCATTTTTCCACTCCAAGACATTAGGTAAAACGTTGAGCGTTGCCTACATCAAAAATTTAATGTCTGCGCTGCTGAATCTTATGGCCGATCAAAAGCTGAATACAGGCGACGATGGTCAATACAATAAAGTCATCAATGGCATTTGCTTAAAGGTGTTAGACAAAGCGAATTTTACGAATTTAAATTGGTATGTGAATATAATAAAGCATGTCAAGGCAGTTCGCTTTCGATCATTCAATTAACACATCATGTCGTGTTTATTTGTTTTACAGCGCGCTAATACGTCTTTTGCGCGAAACCTGTCCGGAGGCTGGCTTGCCGAAATTCACCGATCTGCTAATGAAATGCATTTGGCGTAATGTTAAAATGTTGCCTGAACGCACCAATGAACTGAACTATGACGCTGTCATATTAGAAGTGCACGAATTTATGTTGGCTTTACCGAGTAGTTGGTGGCAAACGCGTCCATCTGACACGCCATTACGTACCGTCAAAACGATTATTCATAATATGGCCAAAGTGAAGGGCAATGCCATACTGAATCATCTCAATCAGATACCAACACATTCAGAGTTGCATACATACTTGATAAAGATATTGAAGGTAGGGTATAGAATTGCGCGTGTTTACTTTGGTTGGTTTATTTTTTTTAACCATTTGTCTTGTCATGTCTAGAATTTGGCCAAAGAGGGTCACATACCGAGCGCTTCACCACAACGTTCTGGCTCGGCTAAGGACGTGCATGGCAAGCGCATCTCTAATCAAACGCATGAAACAATGTCACAGATATTCAAATTAATCTCAGATAAGGAAACAAAGCAGCAGGGTCTGCTGAAACTCTATGAATTTAAGGTGAGTTCATAGTGGGCGAACGATTTCTGCATGTCTGGGAGAGCTTTTTAGAGTCATAGAATTGATTGAGCATAACGCAATTTTTACCATTAATGCATTTAGCACATATGTACTTATTTTTCTCTTCGTTATTTTGCCAACTTCAGGTACAAAATCCCGATATTGATTTGACGACGTTCCTTAAAGGCGCCAGCCCCAGTTTTCAGAAATACATCGAAGATGGTTTAGCTGAAATTGAACGTGCTGTAGCCCAATCTGGCGATGCGGGCAATGGTTTGCAGTGCACGCAAAATGGTGATAATCGTATAGGTGAGTGGATTATTTACTATTTGGCTGAAAAATAATTCGATTTGATTAATATGTTTTTATCTAAACACGTAGCGATAAAAACGCTAGTGATTTTTCTTAAAAAATTAGTCGTAATTTTTTTTTACGATATATTAACAAATTTAATAAACAGGAACATTTTCAGCAAATACTCGTTACTAATTATTTTTCAAACACTTTTGCTTTCATATACTATACACACACAATTGCAAAAATAATACGCCACATATCAATACAAAAAACACACTTCACGGAAAAACAACGTTATCACCACTCAACCATCATACGCACTGCCGACGACACCACACGCCCACACACACCATCAACAACCCTCTCGACACCACCAATACTATGTGTGTTTGACTTGTGCAGCCTCATCACGATTCTCTTATCTAACAGATGCCAATTTCCAACATCAAACCACCGCTGCTAGCGGTTTGGGCTGCAGTAGTGGCGGTAGCGCAGGCGGTGTCAAGACAGCGGATCCCGATTTTTGGATGGATCGCTTAAATCATCTCCTTTCGAAGGCAAATCTCGGACGCAACGCTGACGGCATGAGTGGCACGCACTCAATGCTCATGGACAATAAAGTGGCAGATGAAAATCTGAATTTAAATACAATGAACGCGCAACAGAAGATGTCTTCGCTTATACGAAGAGATGCGAGTGTAAGGGAAATTGTTATTATTTTTTTTAAATGCGATTATGTTTTGTTAATTGCGTTAATTTTCCGTTTTTTTTTTTGTTTTTAGAAACCAGAGTTGTCGCCAAATCGCCTGCAGCACTTACAAGCCAAGTTAGCGGTTTACAAGAAGGAAAATCACGCTTAGGTGGGAGAAAGCATGTGGGGATATTACTTATAGGCAGTCATACATACATAGGTTGAATATGAAAGCGGCAAGTTGGCGATAGAGCGCGGTAGCTAGTGTTTCCGTTGGCGAAAAAGCATTGTTTAGCGGCATCAAAACAAAAAGCAGAAAACAAACAAAAAGGCAAATGCAGAGTGGCAATTAATTTGCAATATTTGAAGCGCTACCAGCAAACGCTGAAGGTAGTAAAAGAAAAGCGCGAAAAAAGTAAAACATAAAAGTAGAAGAAACATCATATTTAAATGATGTAAACTAGCATAACAGCAGCAACTACAACAACAATAAGCAAACCTATATACGAAAATATAAATAAGTTTAATTAGCATGGAAAAAAGTAGCAGCACCAGCAGGACATGCCACAGAACGAATGCAAACACGCGTTAAAATCTAATAGAAGCTTATCGTCGGTTTGCGTTAAAAGCTGATGATAGACCACTGGTGGGGAAAGCGGAGTAAACAAGCTGCAAGAAAAAAAAACTAATATTACATACTACTACTAATGTATTACACTTTATTGCTACTACATATTATTACATACACACACACCACCCAAACATGCATACATAAATATACATATACTACATACACAAACACATACATATACTGGTATTTATGCTAAATATACATTTTACTATATATTCTTAAATTATTACATACCAAAACTCAAAGAAAAAACAAAAACAGGAAACAAAAGAAGAGTTGAAACTGAAAATTCAAATGAAATTGAAATCGAGTAATAAACGCATCTAAATCCAAATGAAAGATGCATGTCGGCAATGAGAATTATGTTAGTTTAATAACAATATTGCATACTGAAAAATAAATTGAATTTAATGATGAAACAAGAATTAAAAAAAAGAAAAGAAAAAAGAAGTATAGCAAGTATATTCTGTATTAACCATAAGCGGAGGTGCGACGGCGACGTAAATTTATGAATATAAATTAATTACATAAATACAATAATTTATTTAGTTTTAGGCAACAAGTGCATGGTTGAGCAACAAATAAACACACCATATACTACAAATAATACATGAACGAAAAATAAACACAAATATACTCGGAAAAAAGATAGCAAAGAAGTAGTGCAAGCAGCCGGCAAGGAGGCGGTTAAATGTAAGTACATAGTTGACTGGGATGTAGCTACATTTGCGCGAGGCAGAGTTGAGTCGAGAGAGAGTTTTTACTAACTTGAATAGTTAAGTTATTGTTTGTTAAAGTTACAACATATGTATATGTGAATGTGTTTATTATTAATTGGATCGCTTGGTTTTCGAATTATTCAATGTTATGTAGCCGACTATTACAGCAGCAAATGCAGACTTATATTTCTTCGCTGATGTTTAATACATATAAAGACAAAAATGCTTAATTATATGAGCACTGCTAGCATTTTTTAGTGTCGTTTGTCGTCAATACATTGGTCTGAGACTACAGTTTTGCAACAGTGGCAGCATTTTGGACTACGTGTAGGTTTTTGTTGTTGTAACGACATAAAAAGTCCCCAAAGATGTTTTGATTCCTGGAGTAACAGTATAAAACGTTAAAGTTTATGTTACACACAAGTATTAGAGCAAAACTTTATATCCGTTTTATAAATTCAAACAATTTCGTGGACATTTCTCGTAATAACGATTCTAGCCAACGCATCCAAACTCGCAACTACTTATCAAAAAGCGAAAATTATGTTTAAATTCCATTTACATTTAAAAGTATGTGTGTATGATTACTCTAACTCAAGCCTACAATATCCATCGCCGCTTTAAGTTAAAATCGTTACCAATCACATACTTATACACATATCACGACGAAATAAAAGTAGAAGCTCATGCGCGCGGTTTTAGCCATCACCGCGCTACCATCAGCGTATCAATGGGGCAACGTTGGCCACAAACAGACTCCTTTAGGAGTAAAGCTTGGTTTTAAGATCTTGCCTACTAGTTTTTATTGTCTCCAAATCGGCAAGTCTGAGGATGCATTGAGTTGATGGTTTGTGGTATCTGACGTACTGATGTAATGAAGACTCGACCAGCGTGAGTTCCTTGTTGAGTCGAGTGATTAAAAATATGTAGAGCTATATACTTCAATGAAACGTTGAATATCGTCTGCAAATAGTTAAACCGACTTCCTTTAAGACAGTCAGTTCAAAATTATTGGGGAAAACCAATTGGAATGTATAGGAATCTCATCACTGTAAACTTTTGCGCAAAAAAGTACGTTAGCAGATATAATTTGAGCAGCTATGTGTATTTCAAGAAGCTCACTGCAGCATATATATTTTTTTTTTGTTAAAGGCAAATCAAATTGAACGCTCAATCAATACCAACCAGAGATCAGCAGCCATATTCCCACTGTTATAACCTCTTCGCCCAAAAATATGCAAACATAAAAATATGTTCGACTTAATTTCCGTTGGCGTTGTCGTTTGAAAATGAAATTAAAACGAGAATTTAACATCGCCGTTGGCAATATCGACATATTGGTAATCTTCATTTTGAAATGAAGATAGTGAAGACATACTATCATGTTAAGAACTAAATTGAAACGATTGTCTATTAATGAACTCTACTTTTAGGGCGTCAAAATGAAAGTGAAAAAATGTGAAAATATGTTTGGAAAGCGCAAGCATACTGTTAGTTCCTCGTTATTTTCGACTTGAGACATGAAAATTTGAGTGTGTTGAAAATTACAAAAAAAAAAAAACTGGGAAATAGCAATCTCTTAAAGAGCTCATAAGTTGGCTAATAATAGTTAAAATTAATTACATAAAAAATCTGCAGTAATAGACATTTTTTTTTTATTTTTCGAAAATTATTTATAAATTACGCAAATATGTATTAAAACAAAAAATAAAAATAAACACTGCACGGCAATTTGTAAGCAATCTTTAATGTATACTAACGACAACTACTATTTAGCACTTTAAATTAAATTAAAATCAAAAAAAATCTAAGTCCTCCAAAAAGGCCAACAATTTCAACAAGAAAAAATAAACAAAAATAATTGGACAAATACTCTTTAACAACATATGTAAGCTTGGTTAAAACTAGCATTCTATTTACTAAATTATGTTATTGTCGAAAGAAAATCTATGTATAGAAAATTATTTTATATTTAAGCTGTAACTAAATTCAAATCCTAACAAAACTCGCCGTCGCTTGAAATATCAGCAAAAAAAAAGCCTGCGCTCCTTTGGCTTAAATTAGTAAGCAATTTCGTTTCTAAATATGTTATGCTATTAAAAATGTTTGCTATGTTTTCTTTATGCTTAAATGCCGTACCTCTTTCATACATTACTAGTTATACACACATGCATACACACCCAAGTGGTACTTTGTTATAGAAACTTAGTTCTTAACCTAAAGTTTTTGCAAATTTCGTTGTATTTATTCCACACATACGAGAGTGAAAAATGGAAAAGAAAAAATCATAAATACTTTAAAAACCTATTTTATATAAAATACATATATTAATTGTTAAGCTTAACAACCACTAAGTTTCTATTAAAAAATATTTTTCTGTTATGTTGACATTTAATTTATTAATAAATTTATTAAAACTCATTCAAGTAAAAAAAGATATGCAAAAATGCTAGTAAGATATACATAAACATAAATACATACGCATACATATAAATACATACATACACACACGCATACTCACGCAAAAAAAAAAAACAAAAACTGAATACAATCAAGCGCGTAGTTGCCTTCATTTGATGTTACTAAAAAATAAATATATATTTTGATTTTACTAAACTTTCATTTGCGCTATAAGTTGTGTTTGCGCATTTCTTGCTGCTTTGTAAGAATTTAAAACACATATTTAGTATCTTTACTTAGTAAATATAAGTTTTAAATTGCAAGCCTTCTTAGCTAACATTTATACAAAATAGTTGTAAGTGAGAGTAGCCGCTTCGTGCGCCTCGATTTTTTTACCGCATTGAATTTTTTTCTGTTAAATTGTTACTAACTTCATTTTTTCATTGCGTCTTTGATTTTTCGCTCATTCTCATTTCTTTCACAGATATTTATCTAATTTTTTTTTTATTTTTAAGTTAGCCTGCGCATTATTTTAGTTACAAAAAAATATATATAAATTTTTTATTTCCTAACTATGCAAAACATATGAAAATAAAAGCGATCACATGTTTTAAATAACAAAAATTTTGCGGTGTTTTTAATTTATTGATGAAATTAGGTAAGGTAAAAAATTGAGGTTTGATGAATTGAAAAGAAATTATAAAAATTCGGCGTTAGACTTTTAGTAAGACAAAGAAAGACCCTCTTGCCAAGCATATTTGTCGTTGTTGTTGTTGTTATTGTAGCGGCACTACTAAGCCTCGCTCAGTTCGGTTTGTCCATCAATCGTTGTCGTCAAGCTAAACTAACGGCAGGCCCAAGAAAGAGGGTTTAGTGGTCGGACCAAAGGGAGAGGGGTGTTAGATGACTGGGACTTAGCTGGCATGTGAAGAGGTGGTTGGTGTTGTGTTGGGGTCTCCACATGCCAGACACTTGTTTGAGATATTAGGGTCGGGTCTGGACAGGTACCAAGCTGTTGAGATGGCTGCAATATCCAGACCGTAATTGGGCCAGAGTAACGCGGGTCTCTTGGCAGTTGAAGCTCCGTGTGTGGCACAGGTGGTGATTGGGCTCCGATCACGGCATTCATAGGTCGAAAGTGGTGGTAGATGGTGGCCGACTCCCTATAAATGCCGTTGATCACTCGTCGGTGCGTGCCATTTGGCTTGGAATGGCTCGGGTTTTACACGACCAAGGTTTGTTATTTCTGCGACCTAACCCCGCGTTTAGATCAGCGAACTCCATGCCAAGTGTAGTCGTTCACCCCGTTGGATGAGCCACTCGCCACAATGCGCTTCAAGGCGATATTCTCCAGCATTTCACACACTTGCGTCTACGCCGCGACGAAAGAGAAGTACGCAGCGACCAAAGACCTCTTTCTTGAGCGCGTGGATGACACCTACGAACGTTGGCCCCTTCGTGATATAAAAATCTTGCCTGGCGATTTTAATTCTCCTAGTGAGCAGGGAAGGGTACTTTGGTTCCACCGTCGATAAATTTAGCCTCAACGACGAAACGTCCGATAACGGACTGAGACTGACTGCATTCTCTGGGACCCGAAATAAGGTAGTATGTAGCCCTACATGCCAGCATAGGAAGATTAATTAAGCTACATGGCTGTCTTCAAATCGAAAGAAGAAAATCCACATCTATATAGGGTGAAGAGGAAAGCGAGACTTATTTTCCATAATAAAATGAGAGATTGAATTGCGCGAGTCTTTCAGCGATTTGTCGATTTTAAAGCCGTCTTGCCTTGCACGAAAAGGACCCAAGACTCGCATCCAATATTTCACTTTCTTTTGTTTTCTATTTAATAGCAAGCATTTTTATTTCCGCTATTCAATATTGTAAATTGCTTTTTAACTATAACGTTACCTTTAACAAAACCACTTTGTACGTTCATTTCATATTCATAGCTCCAAAAAGCGCTTAAAGCAGCTACAACTAAACTACTTTAATAATACTACAATAAAATGGATTTTGCTCCAATTGAAGTTTCAACAATTGTACTCTGCATATGTATCTACTCTCCCGCGCCGCTCTCCACCGCATTTCCTTCTTCATCCACTCCAGCAGCCTCCTCATTGTCCATTGCAGTTTTATTACTTCTATCGAAGCGTGAAGAAATCGTGGCCACACGTATGGCTGCTTTGAAACCGACACGTGCTTTCTGCTTGGCCAACTTGGCTTTCCAATTCTCATCGCGCGATGGCAACTGATTCAAATATTCGAACATCTCCTCTTTCTGCGGATCGACAATGGCCAGTACGGACATGCAGCCGTCGACGGTGCCCAAAACAATGCAACGACCATCCTTGCTGCTCTTAATCGCTGTCAATTCGGCCTGTAAGCGATAGTTGGCAATCATTTCAGTGTCCGAGGAGCGGAATACGCGTATCGTCTTGCGTCCACTGTGATAGTAACAAACATATTCATCGTTCTCGGTGAATAGACAAATCACAGAGAATACACCCTCGGCCACTTTTGGGATGAATGTCTTGACAGTGGTGCCCTTTCGTAGCTCCAGCATTTCCAAGCCACCTCTGGAATGGTACGAAATTGAATTGTTTTTGATATCTTTGCATGGTAGGCCTGTTTATGTATTGCAATATTTTACCTCGTTGGCGCATATAGACCACATTTTCCATCTCTTGTTATCGATCCACCCCATTTCGGTATAGAACGCACATGTTTCTTGCTTTTGATATCCATTACACTACCCTTCTCACTGCTAATCACAGCTACTTGATTGGCCTTGTGCGGCATTGGCACCAAAGAAATCACCTCCTGGAAGTAGAGATAAAATATTTAAACATTTATGTCCGGACTTGAGTAAATTGAATACATATGTAAAAGTTTTTTAATGAAAAAATAAAACTGATATAAGCGTTCTAAGGATGGATCTCAAAAGGGTGGCATCAGTAGCAATAAGGTTTTTTTATTACGGACTAGGCGTAGAACGAGGTCAATGATAAGAAGACGGCGTACTACCTCCAGATCAATGCATTGGTTGTAAGCTTACAAGCTGGTTCCCGCTAAGCTAAGTATCCTAATATGCGGATGCCTATCAGCAGTTTCATCGGCTCAAACAAGGTTTGAAGGTTTTACGAAGAGACGGTCAGAGTTGCGTTAGTTGGCGGAGAAGCGGTTGTGTTGCTGACTGTTGAGCTCGCCTCGATGGGCAGGCGGTCATACGAATAAGACAACAATACATAACAAAAACAACAACAACTAATTCAAGTGCAGGGGTATCAACTACCTCAGCAAAACCCGCATCAGCTATGACAACAGAAACATCTGTAGTACTAATAACAACAGCAACAGCCACGTTCGAGCTACGTAGCGGGATAGGTTCTAGGCGCAGAGGGAGCTTCCGTGAACGTCTAACCGCAGAGGTGGGGATCTTTATCGAGCACGCCTGTGGGAACGAACAAAAAATCTAGCAACAGCAAGGGGATTGGAAATTGGGCGCAGAACCGATCTGTTAGTTCCAGGCAACCATGAGCAAGCACCTCCCCGTAAATAGACAACGATCTAGGAGCCGGCGTCGTTCAGAGTCGGGACATCGCTTCACCAACAGGCACCGTTCCAGCAGCAGGCACCGCGAGGGGTCACTGGGTCAGAATCGCAGGTCTCGTAGTCGGACGTCATCAGCATAGCATGAGCCAGTGTAGCACAAGCAAGGTAAGAGGATACGAAAGTGGAGACCTCACTCATTACAACCGCCGGGTCAACCTTGCACCCTTGGCGACCACCGCCGAGCTTATCTAGGTGGCTCGGAAGGCAAGTGGTATTTCCGATACCTGGAGCAGGGAAAGATGCCGGACGAAGCCCAGGTCATGGCGCCATAGCGGAAGTCAGGTAGGAATTTTAATTATTTTCTCTCTCGCAAAAAGCAGAGTCAAAGTAGTTTAGTCCCGATCTTCCGATAACTCAACATTCCACATATTAGTCATTCGGTGTCAGTTCTAACTCAAACTCGTGAGATGGTATGAGACAGTGTTTCGAAAAGTTAGAAAGTGTCTTTCAAAAATGGTTTTTTATTTCCGAAAGGCCAATTGCAGATCTTCCAACTGAACTGAACTGAAACTGATTTACGAAATGTGACAGAAAGGTCTTTCTGGAAAGGCCGTTCTTCAACCAAATTCTGCGAAATTGTGTTTTTCAATCAAATTTTGAAGTAGGGTGTTCTTGAAAAGTTTGCTGAGATAGGGCATTTTCGAACTGGCTGCCGAGATAGATCGATCTTCCACTCAGGTATCGATATGTTGGAAATTAATCATTTAGACATCTTAGTAATGTTTTACATACAGATTCTACTTAGTGTGTGATATATTTACAAGGGGTCACTGCTGAACACTCACTGAGATAATCGTGGAATGATTACCTACTTTCGTCGAGTTCGCAGCTACAGAAGGTGATCATGACTTTTAAACTGACGATATCTTTTTTGGTCTCCCCATTTTTTTGGTTTGTTTTCGGATTCATCAAAAGATGCTTCAGTCCAATCCAATTCTTCGGTCCTCTCGTTAAATTTATCTTTGTTCCTATAACCAAGAAACCATAAGAGTGACATGTCTATTGATTCAGTCGTCGAGCTTAACATCCACATGCAATCTCAGTATATTTTGGAATTAAGCATTGGTGATGACAGTGCTGCTTGGCAAACATAGAAAACGCCCGCTTTCTTAGTTCTTCGCAGTTTGGGATCTAAGCCTTTTCAACCCCTAAAATTTCCAACTTGAGGATGCTAGCAAAGTTAAGTAATCGGAATGAGAAATAGAGAGAGGGAGAGAAGGAGGGTCGGAGAGAGAGAGAGGGAGAGGGAGAGAGACATTTAGTATTTTAGAGAATGCCTACGCACCTACACCAAAATACATTTTTGACTCGTCGGTATAGATACCATTGGAGCTCTCCTCGACTACTCTATCCCTACTCCAGGTGATTCTAGAAGTTTGCCAAGATAACACTCTGCCTTCGGTTTCCGGCAGCTTGGATATGACCGCCAGTACGGAGAGACAATCTTAGCAGTGATTTTTTTCCGTGTGAAAGAAATTTCTAAAATAAGTCCCAAGTTGTCTATATCAAGACAACGATTCTATGAAATAAGCGCTGAGATTTTGACTGAAACTCGCAATGCAGTTTTAGAGCCAATTTTCAATAACAAACATTTATATGCATGTGTAGTAGAAATATCAACATCATGGGGCACCCCTTTATTTTATTCTAAAAAAAAAAATTAATAGTCGCTACCAGAGTTTGAAAAAATTAATTTTTTTTAAATCCAATTAAAATTTTTTAAACCGAAAACCTTTGACTTTGACCTCCTATAACTCAGCCAGTTTATGAATTTATGGGAAATAGTCTCAATAATATGTTAAATTTATCAGATTGCAAGTAAAAGTTTTGTCGAATTTTTGCGGTTATCAAAGAAAAAAAAAATTTTTCAAATCTAGTTATCGACCCTTAAAATTTTTAAATTTTCGTAGATGCCTTTATTTGGCACGTAAAAAAAGCGGTGCCATATACAAAATCTAGATGTAGACATTTTAAGGACCACGCTAATGTATAGATAAAAAATCTTATTACAAATGTATTTGCTAATATTCACCTACCTTAATTGCACAACCTTTGAGTAGAATTTTCGAAACAAATGCACCATTAGTGGCGCTGTACACTGCCAAGCAATCCTTGTTCACCTTATCCACTGTACACACAATGACATACGCCAAGTCAGCCGAAATGACAGACTGTCTAAAAGGTAAACCGGGTACCATACGTACGGGATACTCAAAACGAAAGAGTATGTTTCCCTCTGTGTAAAAAGGCAAAACATAATAATTTTAACAAAAACAACTCACACACGACAAATGCCACCTACCCGGCACTGAGCGCACTGTAGTAATAGCCGTCAGCCGATTTGTTTCCTCGCCCGCCGCAGCAGCTGCTTCGGCCGCCGCTGCCGCTGCTTTATTATTGATATTCGGACATGATACCGTCAACACCTTGTAACCATAATCCATAAGCGTTATTTGTTGTATGCCCGGTTGATCGTCACGATAGATCACTTGTTCGGAGATGCGATTCCAAATCAAAAATTTACCAGTTTCTGAAGAGATTATATAACGACCGTCGGGCGTAATTTCCGCATGTGTAACAATAGCGCCCAAGGGGCTGTCGGCAAGCTTGGCAAGCAAACGACCCGAGCGTGTGTCCCAAACGCCCACACAGCTACGTGTCACCGTAACCCCCAAGTCCACCTCGGAGAGACTGAGGAGTAGAAGAAGAGAGAAAAGCTGAAGTAGATTGAGGATATACATACAAATGTCTAACTCACACATACCTAATATTATCAATCTGCAGCTCATGACGATCAATCACATGTACCTTTTCGAAAATATTATTAATATTCCATACTTTTACCGAACGATCGATGGACGATGTGACAACATTATTCCAATTGCCAATGGTAAGCGCTTCCAGCTGAATGATGCGTCCGAAATGCGCATCGAGTACTTTTGCTAGTTGGCGTGTGTGAAGACACCAAACGTAGAGATTCTTACGCACACCTGCTACAGCATAATCCATTTTAGAGCTGACCATAATCGAATTGGATTGCATGATGCGCGTCGTTATGTTGCGTACGCCATGCGGTAGTGCAAAATATATAGCATCCTCACTCAGCCGTTCGCCATCCTTACCGAAATCCCAAATGACGAAGCCTTTGCCTGCGGTGCCGAGTAGCATACGATCCTCTTGGTCCAATCGTAGCTGCAGCAACATCTCCTTTTCGTCATTCTCGAAACGTGGTAGCTGCTCTTCGAGCAACCAATTGATGGAGTCTTCGCTTTCCTCGAATCGAAAGACGCTTACCTGTTGAGAGGGGAATGGAAAAATAGGAGTATGTATGGAAAATAGAGCTGCCAGTTAGGAGGAGAGTCCTGGCAATCTATTCAAGACGTATTTCGAAACTAGAAGGCCAATCATCTCTATTGATGCTGAGTTTTACAAAACTGAAAAGCGTTGCTCAGATTTGGCGCTCAGTAGTTCGCTCACCTGATAGTTCTCCTCACTCGCACAGGCATACAGCTTTGTGCGCGTCTTATTAATCGCCAGTGCGCTATACAACATCAAGGGTTCCGAGTACAGCTCATTGCGGCAGGAATCCAAACGTAAACGAGTCTCATTAATTGAACCAGACCAAAAAATTACATTGTAGTCCCTTGGACGCAGAAACTCCATGTCTATAAGGAAGAGAGCAAACTTGTGAGCTTTAAGCTAACTATACTTGATTGTATTAAAGAACGACGATATTACTTAATATCTCCCAATTCATAACTTCGCCAGGAATATCGTGCACACCCACCAAATTGCCACGCATATCGAATTGAGCCCAACGCAGCTTGCAGGTCAAGAAGAGGCTGCAGTGATTGGCAAAGCAAAAAAAAAAATTTTTGACATACTAGTTTCGGAAGCACAAAGTCTCTTACCTCTGATTAAGCAAATAGAGCCCACTAACTGGTCCATCGTCCTCCTCAAATGGACTATCGATCACAACAAACTCACTAGAGAGCATATTCAGCAGCACCGTCTGATTGTTGTTTGAGTATGCGGCCGCCCATTTATTATCTGGACTCAGCACCAGTTGTTGCATAATACCTTCAATGCCGGGATTAACGTCGCGAGTGAGATCCGATGTGGAGAGATCAAATGTAATAAAGTGCGTGGAAATGGAAACCATGTAACGGAGATCGCTAGTGAGACAGAAAGCGAATACAGCAAACTGATGACCTTCGAGCGAGTACTGCAAGAATTTGAAAAAAAGATAAGCTTTAGTAAAGCAAAAAATCCACCATCGCAAATGCCTTACTTTTAACGGTCCTCCAGGTGTGTGCAAACAATGATTCACCGGTATCAGCGAACAATCTTTGGGCCCCGAACGATCACAAGCGCGTAAGAGCATTTTTATATTACTATTTCCACCAATTTCCGGCAGTAAGCGTCCAATCAGTTGCGGTGCTAACATATTCGGATATACGGCAAGTATGGCGCCACCGAGGCGGAGAGCGTCGGCGACTAACATCAACTCACGTCTCGCTTCTTTATTGTCCGTATTCGAGGAGGCGTCTTCGAAGTCGGCCAGCACAGCTTGCAGTGGACAGCTGGAGAGTTTGGCATGTAGCCAGTCGTAGTTGAAGAGCACATGTTCGAAGAGATCCTTGAAGCGGCGTGAGCGCACGAAATGGAAGGGTAGCTCGCCAAACTGAAGTTGGTGGGGAGTGAAGTGGAGAGAAAATGGAAATACATATTAAGGGACAGTAGTTTCTTAATGCATATTGCTATCGATTTATTCATAGATGCTATCGATTTATTTATCGACATCGATTGAAATATATAAAGCTTGATAATTTGTAGATATCACTATCGAAATATTTTTTGTTTAGGTTATTGGCAACGTAGTTATCGATATCGTGATCGATATATAAAAAAAATTGTTATCGATATCAGTACTTATCGGTATACTTTTTAATCAAAATTAAGTTATTGTTGTCGATGAATTTATCGTTAACATTTTTGCAATATTTAGTTACAGATGAAATTTATCGATATATTTGGCGTGTTAATTTATGTTACGCGTTACTCCTTTATATTTATATTCTTCTCTCAAATTCATTGGGACGGTATTGGATTTGGATAGCCATGAAGTTGGTTAATACTCGCATCGCTCAGACTATAAAAGAGAGTTCCGGAGACTTTTCAAGTCAGCCAGCGCTATACTGCCACCGAGGTCGGTATTTACGTTCATGTAAAGGGAAGCGAGTTTATCTTTTTCGGGTTCAAATTGAGGCCTTCAATGGCAAGTATTTACAAAGAATTTGCAATCTCAAGAAAAATCGGTCTTAGCCCAAAAACTCTCTTTTTGGTCCACATCTCATAACTCCACCAAATACCACTGATAGAGATAGAAATGCGCGTCGAAGTCAAATATCTATCTAAATGGTCTAGAACCAGACATACCTAAAAAACTCCTTCTGGCCACACAACCAAATGTCGTGTATTGACGAAGGTATAAGGGGCAGAAATATTTGGTTCTAAGGCTAGGATCTCCGATCCGCATGTGGAAATATCCCAGCATTTTTCAGGCGGAAGTTTACGCCATACGTGTTTGTCAGATACATTTAAGTGGACGGACAGTCAGGCTGCACTATGATTGTTATTATTGTTGAGGATAAACCACTGCGACCTTAAGATATATTGCGCTTCCTTATGGATTTGGAGTGTGTCTATTTACCCAGTATCCTAGAGAAACTTTACTATTGAGCCTCAATCTCTGTATTTAACTACGTCATCGGACCTTTCTCAAATGTGCCGCGCAATTTCGATATTCATATTACAAAATCCGCATCGCTAGTGCGAGTGAAATCCCATTTTGGTCAGGTGACAGTTTAGTCTGCAGTGTCCTGTCAAAATTTTTAAGTTATGGTTGGATAAGCTCCTATATTCCTCAAAGAGTTTTAGGTTATATATTCCTTAAAATGCTTTGAAATGTTCTAGACCTGATAGATTGTCCCAGTTACGATTTCGCGAATTAGCTCAGAAGACTGCTACCGCTACTGCGATACGGCCGCAAAACCATTATTTCTCGTCAGTTTTGTAAAACGTGGAAGGAGGTCCATTAGCTTGAGCACCATGAGATCGGTATCCAATCCAAGACTGGACAAACACATATCGATGGCTGAGTGGAAGATCGACCTATCTCGGCAGCCAGTTCGAAAACATTCTATCTCAAAAAACTTTTCAAGAACGCCCTATTTCAGAATTCGTTTCAAAAACGCCCTATCTCAGCTGCCGATTCAAAAACGCCCTATATCAGCATATTTTCAATACATTTTGAAGTGAGATAGGGCGTTTTTGAACCGAATTTTGGGATAGAGTGTTTTTCAATTAAATTCTGAAATAGGGCGTTCTTGGAAAGTTTTTTGAGATAGAGCATTTTCGAACTGGCTGCCGAGATAGGTCGATCTTCCACTCAGCCATCGATATGCAATGAAAAGCAGACTCAACACACTTCACATAAATCCGAGCTACGAGATACGCCTTCAAGGAAAAGATTTTCTTGCTCAGGTCAACAATTGTCCGCAGATCACATTTGTCAGCAGAAGGTAGAACAACCGCTGTGTGGAGTGCCAAGAAACAGCTTTTTACACTGCCGGCAGATGTTCAGACTAAGTTAACCGTATTTCTGTAACAAAAGGTTCAGTATACAGTATTATGCGCGGCTAAACTGCACTTCACAGGTGGTACTAGACCAATGGAGCTCGCCACCGAAGCAGCTCTAGTAAGTTCATTTTTAATTGCTTTTGGAAATTTGGAGTTCTTTAGAAATCCGTCCGTGTACACAACAATGTCATCAGACGGGAACCCGAACCAACCATCTGTCCGTCACTCTGTCTGGTGAGGGATCACGCATAGAAAGCTCCAGCCTATTAAATATGGATACTTTCTAAAACTCTATAAAAATAACTTCATTCGATCCAGTGCCTAAACAGAATTCCACCATTCGCTAGACTGTACCTAAAGATCATTCGTATATTCACCTCAATCCCTAATTTAATAAACAAACTCAAGCTATATGCTGTTTACTCACCTTCCTCAAATTGTACCGCTTTGAGCTGCCATCCTTGCTAGTGAAGACTAGCGGTTGTATCGGCACCTTCCTGTCCGCTGAACCCTCCTTCTCCGTCAGACCGAAACGATGTCGTTGTATCTCTGTATACCTGAATGGTTTCGGCACACCACCACCCCAAATACCCAAATAATAATCGGCAATCATCGAATGGAAATACATCGCCATATTCATATTCTTGAAGTAGCGTTCCTTGGCGGTATCCCTGAATTGTCTATGATACCAATTCATCACATTCACACCATCCGCCTCACGTTCACTCAGATAATTCGGCAAATCATTGCGTATGCGAGTCCACAAAAGCGGCGGTATGCGACGCACTGGCGGCATATGATACTGATACACATCGTCCAATACTTTGTCATCCAACGAAATCAAATCCTCCAGTTCGCTCTCGGATAAACCCGACTTGGCGGCAGTAATGTAGGCGAGCGCATGAAAGACCAAAATCCGACCGTGTTGTTTTTCTATGCGCTCGAAGAGCATCATAATCGAATCCATTACGGTGTTGGCAAGATGTGTCTCCTGCGGTTTGGTATAGCTACGCCAGCGACAAATCTCTGCAAAGACCAGCTTGACGAATATCGGAAGCGAACATTTGCTGATGGCATTCGCAACCAGGCGCCATTGATAGTTATTTAGATCGCGACACGCAGTCTTCATCCACATTTTAATGACATTCATGGCGAGATCTTCGCCCAGCGCGGTAACCTCAATGAAATTCTCCTCGATATCGATCATTTTGCGGAGCACATGATACTCTTGTGAGACGGTTGGATTGGATTCCTCGTTGGCGCACGAAATGATGATCTAATGTGCGGGAAGACGGGTAAAGGAAAAGGCGAGTTTTGGAAGAGAGCGGAAGTTAGAAACTAGCGTTAGTTTGAGTTAGCCATGATTGGGTGCGTGCTTACCATGCATTTGGAAAGGGATATTTGCTTATGTAAAAGTGCTGGGTCAAATTTCTTGTTGTGTATTTACAAAAATTGTCCTTTGTTGTGTATTTACAAACTTGAAGAATTTTAGGTATTTGAATTTCTTTGGGTATTGCTTTAGCAGCCCAGCTCAAGCAATTTGGAGAACTTATACAATTAGAACCAATTTCACATGCTCATCATGCACCACTACTTACAATAACTTTAGATTTCTATGTATTTATAAAACATGCATATAAGTATGTACATATGTATATAAGAGCATACTTATTATAAAGCAGAAGGTCTCATGCAATATTTTTTATTTTTTTTTCGAATATAAAGAAAGCATGCAACGCAGTTAGAACGAAAGCGAATAAGTTCATAGTACGGGAAGTGACATGCCATTGCTTTGTTGTTGCACATGTCACGCCCACTCACCTTACAGTGCGGTGGCAAACGCGTCGGTATCCAGGACACTTTGTTCGAGTCTTGTGTGCCTGTCAGCTGATCGACCGAATCGAGATACAAAGTCAGCGGTTGGTTCGCGCTTGCATAAGTTAGTAATTGCTTAAAATGCGCTGTTAAAGGTACAAGATCGTCGGGTATATTCTCGAAAGGAAGCATATAGTTGTAGGAGATCTGCATTAGAGGCATATTAGTCAGTCAAAATGTAAATGTACATGTGTATATACTAGGGTGGTGCAAAAACAGTAGAGTCGGAAATGTAATGCTCTTACCCCCTAGGATTGTTCTATATCTAAAAAGGTATAACCCTATTTTTTTATTTTGAAATAATTCTTGAAAATCAATATTTTTCGATCGGAAAACTGGTTCTCTTCAGGAGACTTTCAATAATAATACACAATTGTTTATTTAACCAATTTTTAATACCAACGATTTTTTATCGGTCCCCCATTGCTTTTTCGGGGTTTTTGTGGGTTTTGGCGGACCTATAAATTATAGTTGCGATGAAAAAATGGTTAAATGAACAATTGGATATTATTATTGGGAATCTCCTGTACCATTTCTACGAGAGGTTGTTTTTTCCCCATATAAAATACATGGAAAACTTTGAGCGCTTTGAGCGACCTCTAAATATTTTTTGATTTCAAAATAAAATAATAGGGATATATTTTTTTCGGTATAGACCAATCCTAGGGGGAGCATAAAAATTCCGACTTTACTTTTTCACATGCATTTTTGGAGTACCCTAGTATATACATATATATTACAATTAGAATATCATTGCAAGAATATAAAAATGTATAATAAATTAAAACACAGTTACATACATCCATTCATACACTATTGAAAATTATCGAAAAATTTCATTATTATTAAAAGGAAGTTGTAATTTTTATAGGCATGAAGAAAAATTATTTGATTTCTGAATTCATTTAAGCAAATAAATTGCCCTAAATTTGTTTGTGTTGATCGCTGTTTAGATCCATTTGTGCGATATATACATATTTTTTGGATATATGTATACTAGGGCGGTTCTTAAAATATCAACATCGAAATATTTTATTGGATACGCCTTTATTTTGTTCTACGTACAAAAAAATAACGATAACGACGAAAATTTCGAAATAATTTTTAGGCAATGCCACCAGATCGAGAGATCTTGTCAATTAGACGGGGAGACAAATGTTTGACAATGTTTAATCGAATGAAATTCTGGTACAAATTCAGGGCTTCTCTATATTAAGGTAACGATATATATGTATATATGTATGTATGTATGTATAGTATATTTATACCAGAATTAAAAATTGAACTCCAATCACTCTAAAATATACATAACAATCGGCGCGGCATCAGTACCTCCCAAGCTCTATGCAGTAGAGCTCAGTAGATCACCCCACGCCCCCACTCACCTGTTGACAAATTGAAATCAATGTCGGCGTTAACGCACTAGAATCGGGTGTTGTGCCCAGAAAGCGTATCACATTAATTGGTCGTTTGCTCGCAAACCATTCGCTCGCCACCAGCGAGGCACTTTTGGCCAGCATCGATGTCTTGCCGCAACCTCCTTCGCCATAAAGGACAAGTGGTTTATCTGAATCCCCCAGCATATAGCGCTTGATATGTTCTAAATTATCTTCACGTCCATAAAATACTTTAACCGAATTATTACAAGCGTGCAAATGCTGTAGGATTTCAGTCACTATCTGCCCCTGTGCACTGGAGTCTTCTTTGCGCATGGCGCGATCCACCAACTTGACGATATTCTTATAGAAATGCGATATAAAGTGATTGAGATACTCCTCGTGCGTTTCGATGTCCAGACCCTCGCGGCCAATCCATTCGACTGTGTACCTTTGTTGAGACAGGAAAGGAAAAGAAAGTATGAAAACCTTGAAGCCAAGCTATGTTCCACTTTCGACCTACTTCTGCATATTACTCGATTCAATTTTGTTTGGTAAACGTACATCGCGCAAATCACCCAACAATTTAGCCGATTCGGTATCCAAACTGCGATTTATTATATCCACAAAGAGCGAGGCCTTCTTGAGATTTTGCAAATTGATATTGTTGATGTAACGTACATAGGCTAGACAATGGTTTTTCGTGTTCTTCACATCCAGTATGCCGTTAATGACCTCGCGTTCGGTCACTGAATAGGAAAAGAGACGAGATTAGTTGCATATGCTTATAGATTAGTGGACTTCAATTGCACAGAAATTAGGAGCTTTACAGGGCAATTCTGGCTTGGACAGGTGCAAGTGTTTCGTGAGTCATTTGAAAGACAGTAGGCACGATATATTTTTTTTTTTTAAAGAAAACCATATGTTTTTTAATTTCATTTCGTTTTTACTAATTTCGTTAAACTAATTTTATAAATCGAGCCCTAACCGCCAAAATAACGCAACCGACGTTTTTTCAAAATTTTCTTTTTGATGCAGAAATATTCCTAAAGCATCTATGCATTTCTGCATTTTTTTATAAATTTTTTTCTTTTTTAATTGAATTAAATTTTTTAAATTTAATTTTCTTAAAATTTAAATTTTTTTTTAATTTCATTTAATTTTTTGAACTTAATTTTGTTAATTATTTTTCTTTTTCCTCTTTAATTTAAATTTAGATTCCTTTTAGTTTTGAAAAGGATTTTTTTAAATTTAATTCAATTATTAGAAACATATTCTATTTCTCCTTTTTTTAAATTTATATTTGCTTAGATTTTGAGATTTTCTTATTAAAAAAATATTTTGTATGTATTTTATCTTTTTCCTTAAATTAATTTTTTTACTGTTAATTTTCTTTTAGATTTTAAATTTTATTAAAATAAAAATATATTTTTTTTTCATTTCACTTAATTCTTAGTATAAAATTTTATTTATATTGTTTTTTTTTTTTATCTTAAATTATTAAAATTTTATTTTCTTATAATTTTTAGGTTTTATTGATTAAAAAAAAATAAATATTTTTATTTACTTTGATTCTTAGGAAAGTTATTGCTAAAAGGCATGCAGAACAACGATAAGGCCTCCTCGTTAGCAGATCATTCATTAATCTACTTCATGAACATTGAAACATTTTCAGTTCCCGCTCCTCTCGGCATATGAATTATTTGATTTCGTTTTATAAGTGATAAGGATTCTCGTGTAGCCACTTACCTGACATAAAATAATTGTGCACGCACTCCTTGTCCATTTTTCCACTAGCACCCAAGGAAGCTGCCGCTTTTCGCAATAGCTTCTGCATTTTATTGAGCGTATCCCACCAGACGGCTTGATCTTCGGCTTGCAATTTGGGAACGCGCTAAAGATCGGAGTTGTATAACGAAAGTTATAAAAAGCGGAAAAGTGAAGAAATTCGTACCATACAATGTTTATTATTTAAGTTAATTTATTCAGTTAAGGTTAGTATTAAAAATCTCTATCGGCATTGTCTTCTTACCTTATTATTGAAATTGATCAGAATGGAAGAAATCGGTTGCAACACTGACATTGGCGGCACAGCATTACTGTCTTTTTTGTACCATAAATCGAGCAAAGCCCGATCCACACCCATAGATGTGAGCTCCTCACAAATTAACTGCAATTCCGATGAGACAATGTATGTTGGTATCGGTCGATAACCATATTTTTGACCCAAAAATACAATGAAGTTTGGACCCATCGAAAGACGTTGACAATTTTGAATTTCACGCATACACAATTCCGTAGTCATGTGATCATCGGTGGCCTCATCGCGAACACCCCAACGCATGTCGACAACCTGGGAAGAGATTTAATTTATAGCAAAGAAGAGCATAGATTAAAAAATTTGGAATTTTCAATGAAAGGTGAAAAGAAATGAATTTTGAACACGCATCGTGCTGGATGATTTTTCTTTAAAGACTAGAATGCTTTACTGAGTTCAAAATAACTGCGGATTGGCGAGGAAGGAATACGAAATTAAATATAACTCATGTCTATCCTTCCGAGAAGTTTTTGTTCTCCCCTCATGGCATAGATGGGCTTTGCGATCAGAAGTTTTGCCCTCTAAGGGAAAGGATACATATACTTTTCTAAAGAAGTTAAATATCTCTCAGTTATCATTAATGGCAAGCACACATGGAATTTGCGCTAAGATACAGCTAGCATTTATATACAATACCATCTCCAAACCCATCCTAACATGTGCTGCTCGCGTCTGGTGGAAGAAGATAGAAGTGAAGTACCACGCAGGACAAGCTCAGCAAACTTTAACAACTATCCTGCGTGGACATCACTGACGCGATTAAACCACACCAGTCGCTGCTCTCGAGAAACTTCTAGACCTGTGTTCTTTACATCCTCCAGACAAGACTCATCTCAGGAGACAATGTGGAGCATAAGAAGCATTCCCTACCGGAACAATAGGAAGGATTGCGTATTAGCTTTGCGAGATATGCCTTCGGAGATTTAACTTCCCACATAACATGAGTCTAGCTGGGTCAATGAATGGCTACTATTTCAAATTTAGAAGTTGCTCGGACAAAGAAAGGAACCCAGGTCCTACGGTGTGGTAGTACACACCTCTAACCAGTCCGCCACAGCGGCCGAACATTACATATATACACTCTGACAGCAGAGCAGCGCCCCTCGCACCACAAAGCTGATATGGGACAGCCTTTAGCTTTTAATAAGAAATGGGTACTGAGACACAGTGGAGTCATGGGCAATGAAGGGACAGATATCGATCCATAACCGCCAAAATGGCGTAAACGACATTTTTTCCAAAATTTTATTTTTGATGAAGAAGCTTTTCCAGAGCATCCAGAAGCATTTCTGCATCAAAAATAAATTTTGGGAAAAAATGTTGCTTACGTCTTTTTGGCGGTTAGAGCTCGATAATTATTCTCGCTAGGAAAGGAGCTTGACAGTTATTCATAGGCCCAAGATCCTTTATCAGTTTATCTGTCTGCGTTAGGTGGAACTACCATTTATGGATGAAAAGGAAGCACAACATTCCTAGAAAAATTCAGAGTGTAACAGAAATATCAACAAAGGAAACTAGAGCCCTTTTTAAATTAACCAGACACGATGGAAGAACGGTTACAGGCTTTCTTCCTGGCCAGTGCAGGCTAATGAAGGGCCTGTCAATCTTAGGAGTTATTCCCTCCGGCAGGCTGTGTAATGAGGAACAGGTAACAGCAGAGCACATCTTGTGCCACTGTAAAGCCCTTACTAGGCACAGGTACGACCATCATACCAGAAGCACATGACCTAATTGGAATTCAGCTAATGAACCTCATGGGGCTCCTTAATGATACGTGGCTCAAAGAAGATATAAACCAAATAGAGGCATGTACATTTATAACAATAGATAGTTATTCAGGTAAATTGTGCCTGGAAAGAGATTTTGTAACCTTTCGCGAAATGGTTGAGCTTTAGCGTGACGTAGCAGTTAGTAGTTTACAAAAGATGGTAGCTTTAACATCGGCGCGGCAGCGTTAGGCGTCTAAGAAATTACATTGAATTACGTCGAAATTCGATCACCTCACTTTTTTGCACATTTTCATTTGGTTTGTGACGTTTTTAAGGTCTATGAATACCTCTTAATCGTCTAAGTCACTAATATTAGCCGTCATCGATTCGCCTATTCCCAGTTTGCTATGTTTGAGTTCCGGTCGCTTTATGCAAAATTTTCCATGTGAAAGCAACAACAAAGTTAGCTAGCAAATATGGACAATAGCGAGTTTGGGTGTACCTCATTGAGTTTGTTCGTTTCGCCACTTGCTAACTGTTGGCGAATCGATGACGGCTATTATTATTATTTTCTGTTAAATAATTTTATAATTCATAGGAACAGTAGGGAGGAATAGATTTGTATGGGAGTTCGTTAGCATATTAATATATAAGGGGTATTCTCTGAGTTTTGCAAAGCCCTTCTACAGTGCACGGATTGCATGGTTTGCAAAGCTGTCCCATACGAAAACCGGTTTTTACCGTGCAATCTGTGCACCGTGCAAGGGCTTTGCAAAACTCAGAGAATACTCCTATAGATAATGATGTGTACCAAATGAAAGAGAAAATTCTGAAATTTAAAAGCATTCACGTTTTTTTTTTTGGTTTACAAGGACGAGTAGTAGTGGTAATGCGCTTTTAATACATTTTTTAAGCTAATAAAGTTATGCGGACGAAATTCGATGATAACAAATATTTTTTTCAAAAATAAATATTGCAAATTTCCAAGGATATTTAGGGAAAGAATTTTAAAAGGATATTTTCCATACCCATTCGTCCTTATGCACCAAAAAATTTAATAATTTTTAGTTCTACATAATTTTCTTTTTCATTTGATACACCATTGTTATGCTACATTGCACTAAATTTTTAAAATAATTTTCTGAATTTATCATATCTTTTTAAATTTCAGAGTTCTTTTATTAAACAAAATCCTGACACAGAGAAAAACTAACTAAAGAATTATGTAAGGCAGTGGCAGTACTATAAATTTTAATGAATTAACGGTAAATAAGTGCAATAAAAAAATTAATTCACCGCGTCTTAAAAGACTGCAATAACTTTACTTCTTAATTTTTTTAAATTTAAATAGTACGTAGATATCATAGAAAACTTTAATACTCAAAATTTTATTTTACTCCTTACAGTTGGTTGGTTCGCAAGTGCATATTTTCGCTTGCATAGGATCTATTGAAATTATTTTTTCATCCACGTAATTATATTATTTATAGAAATAAACTATGCACAACTCGAGAAAAAATTCAAATAATTGTTACTATTTTCCATTTCAACTCAACACACTTACCTGAAATTCAAGACCATGTTTCTCTCGACAATAGTCCTTGATGCGTGGATAACATTTAGCCATCAGCGTGTTGCGTTCCATTGTCGTATCTAAGCGTAATTGAATTTCAAGGTCAACAAGCGAATACGCCAACTTACGTAATGTCCATTACATAAATAAACAGTGAGTGTTACTTAGTAGGCGCTCACCTGTGAATGTTGAACTAGTGAAAATGCGTACAATTTTCGAGCTGACTGGCGGCAAAGACTCCAAGGAGCCCGCAAATATCGAATCAATTGTGCGATCATCCATTTTCGCAGATTTCTTATGCTAACGCGCACAAATATTTCTAGCAATTCAATTGCAAAATTGAAAACTAAAAACTAGGCTTTGAAGCCTGCGACACAATTTTAGCGCGACAACTATATTTCACGAACTGCCTTTGCTGAAATTCGATACGAGACTGTGGTGAAATTTGTTTCATGAAAAGCATTTTAATCCGCATTGACAGCCACATAAATTGGCCAAAAATATCAGAAATGGAGTTTTCTTGTTTGATCGATAATATTTTTTAAGGCAGCAGACAGACAGCTAGCTACATAGGTTAGGTACATAAGTGCAGGCAGGCAGGGATATGGGCGCGGGCTAATAGAGCAAAGGAACGTTGAATGAGGCAACTAAACTGAAGGCAGTGCAGGTCATGCGACTACTGGTTTTGATGTGTGAATAAGGATAAAAGTGTTGGCATGTTCATAAGTCCATACACACCTATGTACATACAGTTGTCCACAAAATAATAGGAGTGGGATATTTTAACCTGTTTTGGCTATTTGTCTTTAGTTTATTTAATGTTTCGTATTTTTTTGTAAAAGCCTAGCTGGTAATACAACAAACACCATATAAATTTACATTTTCAAGTTTGTACAAAAATTATAAAAATTCTGCAAATTTTCACCAAAAATTTCAAACTATTTAACCAGAACCTTTAAAAAAAATATGTTGGTATGCAGTTTTGTAGCCCATTCAATTCTAGTCTGAAGAAGTGCAAGTTTCAAGCTGCTAAAAAATTCCGTTGATTTTTGGCAATTTTTTTTGCTGGCACTGTCCCCATATAAAAGAAAATTGTCGAACATACTTTGTATGGAAAAAACGTGAAACACCTTCAACCGAAAAAATTCTCAAAAATCAACGGAATTTTTTAGCAGCTTGAAACTTGCACTTCTTCAGACTAGAATTGAATGGGCTATAAAACTGCATACCAGAATTTTCTCTGAAGATTCTGATTAAAAAGTTTGATATTTTGGTGAAAATTTACAGAATTTTAATAATTTTTGTACAAAGGTTGAAATCTGAATTTTTTCGTTGTTTGTTGTATACCCAGCTTGACTTTTGTATAAAAATAATAAACATTAAATAAACAAAAGACAAATAGCAAAAACTGACCAAAATAACGCACTCCTATTATTTTGTGGACCACTGTATATACACACATACACATGTGCTATAAAAATAACTTTAAATGGCAGCTCCTTCTAAGGGATTCATAAAGCATTTTAGCATATCAGCATATAATTCGCGTAATTGGTGGCATGCAACATCACTTAGCGTTGTGACACTTGCAACGCTCTGATTATTCTATAAATAATTATGCTCCATTTCGTGTAAAATATGCCTGCGCCAATGCGTGCTATATTAATTTTATGAGTTTTCCAAAGTAATTTATGAACCTTAATCGGCTGGGGCAGGGACCTAAGTACATGCAAATTTCCCTGCAGTTACTTCATTGTTGACATATGTACATATTTTTTGTTTGCCTCTACTCACATATGTAATTTTATTGCATTCATAATTCAAAATACGAGTCACGAGACAATTTAACGCTGCCGCTTGTTTGTCCTCACCACCAGACCGACCTACCTGTTGCTTCGAGTCAATATTCCCATTAAATATTTGTTTATATTGTTAAATGTCTAACATAGCCAGACAACAGGTGTGTTATGGGTTTTCCGTCCGTCTGTCTGTCTGTCTGTCTGTCTGCTTACTCTTAGTTTACTTTCGAAAGTCATTTCCTTATGCTAACTCACTAACAACGCGCGCGCGCTCGTGTCCTTAGTGGGCGTTTTTCTTTCATTGTCCTTGCGTGTTTGTGGCTGATTATTTGCTGCGTTGCACCTTTCACTGCTATGCTTTTGTATTTGTTGTTGCTGCTTGTAAGTTTCATTGCTATTTCAACGTCATCGCGTCATTTTATTGGCGCACACACTTCAAATATTCATTCATTCAGTAAAATTGGCCATTTCTGGCAAATCCTTTACGCCTTACACAAAAGTGCCGTCATTCATCACTTCACGATGACCGTCGTAGGAGTGAAGGATGCAGAAATTTCAAAGTCAGCTTGTTGCTAGTGAAAGTTTGTGTTGCTTTGATGTTCACTTGTTCAAGTCGTATGTAGATAAGCACCAACTTTAATGGATTTTCTGAGTGCATGGTTGTAGTACACCTGTGCTTCGCTGTGTGTTTTTTGTGATGCCCTGAAATTAGAAAGTTACAACAAAGTTGGCGCATACTTAATAGGAAATGTTTAGACCCCTTGCCTCTAAAAGCTGGCTTTCCTCATAGTCGTCCTGTACCGCACTAAAGTGGCCCCACTCAGACAAAGTCTCCACTTTTCAATAGTTGGTTACCTTTATTAATGGACAAGTGATTGACATATTTGACGTCGCAATTATAATAAATTAATTCTTCTTCTTCTTCTTTGGTTGGGCCGAGACCGAAAAACTTTGTCAATTGCCTCTGCTTTGAAAAGTTATGCCAGTTAAAGCATAAACAGACGACAGCGTTGATCCGGATTAACTCGGGAATTAACTGCAGTTGATCCGGATTAAGTCCGAGTTAGTCCGGATCAACACTGCCGCCTGTTTAAGCTTCGGCCAAACACTAACATATTGTGTAAGCGCCATCCGCTTTTGACTTACAAGGACGAATAGGTATTGAAAAGGCGCTTATAATTAGTTTTATTTTTTTAAGCTAATAAAGTTAGGACGAAGTTAGGAGATGTGGTCGTGTGTATATTGGTCCTTAACATATAACTTTTCAAAAATAAATATCGGAAGTTGACAAGAATATTCAAGGACAAAAGTTTTAAAGGACATTTTCCATACCCATTTGTCGTTATGAACCAAAAAATTCAATATTCTTTAATTTTACAGAATTTTCTCTTTTATTTGATACCCAGGTTGTTATTCTACATTGCACTGAATTTTTTTAAAATAATTTTTTGAATTAAACATATTTTTGAAATTTCAAAGTCCCTAAAAAAATCGGGACGTAGTTTTGCTATATTTTACCCATGGTTTTGCGAATATATTGATTTTTTTTGTGTTTAAAATTTACTGTCGCGCGGTGTAATAAAAATAAATTACACGGGAATCAGCTTTAAATAACAATATATTTTATTTGATGATTTCCATTAGATACATTTTATAATAATTATTACCGTAAAGTACTTAATCAATATTAATTTAGATTATATTAATTATGCGGTAGTAATTTTAAACATATTTTGGTGTTATATATCGTATAAAATACGAGGGTTAAATAATTCACATTTATATATCCTTATTTTTTCTAAAATATTTTTAACGCAGCATTTCTTTAACCAAGCAGAGAAACATTACTACATAGTGTTAAGCTCTTAAGAGTTACAAAAAAATTTCTACTTAAAATTGTTCGTAATTTTAATTAGGATTGCATTTTTGTAAGATCTCTGTTATGGAAAGATTAGAATCTCTAGCCTTCTTAGTTCCATCATAGTCCGCTGTGCACTCATAATTAAATAGCTCACCCAATTCAAACCGAATTACGGAATATGAACTAAAACGTTTTGGAATTAAACTTATCGAAATCATCTGGAAGGACAAAACTAAAGTGAATTAAATAAAATGTGGTTCTCAAACAAGACTACTAACTGTCACTGTGTGAACATGGTATTAACGTACCATTAAAAAAGTTACCTTCGGGAATTCATATCACATAGCATGCCTATATGGAAATAATATAAACAAATATTTTGTCGCGATTTTTGGAACTATTTTTTCAAATTTTTTAAACTAAGTATCATGTAATAATTGCACCATAATTTCAAACCTAACGGGCGAACTGTAGATAATGTTACGCAAATTTAATCTTAGGGATAGTTTTTCAGTGCACGGTCGCGGTTTAAACTTAGTTGCAACGCTCGAGCTGGCTAATTTAGGCTAAGATTAGCCAATCCAATACCAGCCAGCTGTTCAATATAAACGTAGTTTACGTAATCTAAGTTGAAACTGGCACTGAAAAACTGGCCCTTAAAAGGTGTTCACATGAGGCGATTAGCTGAATCAAAAGATGCCTTTTTATTTTTTATTTTTTTTCTATTTTCTCGATCAAGAATATTTAACCATTAAATTTTGATGTTAATTGTTTCGGTTAAATTTAATATTTAGTTATTTTGTGACTTTTATTTTTCTCTATAATTTTTAACCGTTATTACATTTAAAGTCTTAAAAATTAAAACTGAAAATAATGGTTATAATATGATCGAAAAAATAAATATCAAAAATGTATTGAATAAAATAAAAATCATAAAATATCTACTAAATTTGATCGGAAAAATTGAAAAATTTGTATTATGATTTTTATTAAAATATGTCGATAAATCAAAATAGGGCCTAGTGTAAACAAGCCATTATTTTTTATTTTATTTTAGCAATTTTGAATTCATTTTTTTATTTGGCTCTTTTATACATCTCAATTTTTATAATTATAGGGATATACATACATAATTATGTATGTAAGACTAAATGTAGTAGATCTTTATTCAATAAGTTTCTTTAATTTTTTTTTTATAATAAATATAAAAGTATTTAAATGTAACTAATTGTTGAACTCTTTATTATAATAATTATAATTATTATGCATCCATTTAATAACTTCTTGAATTTTTTTTAATGTTTTTAATTTATAAGTAAACAAAAATTACAAACACAGATTGCTCATGGCTAATCAGTGGATCTATTTTTTATTATTAGTAGGTATGTATGTAGGTGATTTACATTAACATTTGCATTTTTATTAAAATTTGAGTATTCAGCTTGGACATGAGAGATTTGGGTTTATTCAAGTGAAACGAATTATTAAATATGTATGTATGTATGTATATTTATGGATTTTTCTGTGTTTTTTCGTGAATTTTCTATGGGTTCTTAAATGGTGTTTTTTTAATTCACCATTTTACTAAAATATTGTTTTATGGAATTTAATATAATTGTATTTTCTGCGTTCTTTTTCTTCTTTAATTGGACTAACGAAGCAGATAATTTGTGTTTTATTTTATGTTGTTTTTTACTTTTTTCTTTTAACTAGTATTTTGCGCAACACATACTTGTAAATAAAATGATAACGCAGAAAAACAGAATTATTTATATTAAGAAGTTAGCGCAATTAAATTTAAATTAAACTAACTAACAATTTATTAGCAAATTACGTTTAACTATAAGCAATTTGTTTAAAATTTTGGTTTAGCTACGAAATGCAAAAAAAAAATAAACTTAAGGATTGAAGGTATTAAATATGTAACGTTTAGTCAGGTTGAGGACTGTCGAAATTTCATAAAATTTTTTAAAGTTTGAATAATTCTTCTATGGTGCTAAGTGAAAACAGCAGGCCATATGAGGCCTTGAGAACAGAAGTGGCCTAACCCAAAAATGTATTTTTTTTTGCACTTGCCTATTTAAAATAGTCTCAAATGTGAGCCATTTTAAAATTAAAGTCGATTATTTCTTAATTTTAAGGTACAGAGCTGCATAACGTATTTAAATTAAGGAACAAGCGACCTTTACTTCAAAATTTATTACATTTTAAACTATTTTAAGAAGTTAAATACAAAAAAATAAAAAATTGTGGGCTAGGCCACTTCTGTTCTCATGGCCTCATACATATATGGCAGGTAAGACATATTCCCAAACATAGACATATTCCAAACTCGACAAAGATTTTCACCCCTTTTGTGAGTGTCGATTAGAAGTATGTAAATTGTTTTTTAAATGTTTAATTAGGGTTTTTATGTTTGCATTTAAAATTCGTAAATAATAAATATGCTATTTAATTATAATATAACCATGTTTACATATACATATCTGACACGAAATTTGTTGAGAAAAAAATGAATTAAAAAAATCATCTTCAGAAAAAATTTCTTGACATAAACATAAATTTTGTATTGGAGAAACATGGAGAAAATGACTTACGAATTCTTCTTTAAACTGCTTTTAGTAAAAATTCACAAGAATATTTCATTAAATACTAATCAATTGAACAAATAAAAAAAATTCTAAAATTATACATTATATGGAACTCACCTGTAGAAGAGAACCCTATTTTACAAAATTAAAACCGGTCGCCCCTATGGATTTTGACGTTCTTTTAAGCTTTTGCAACATATTTCTACATCTCAACGCGTTGCGTCAACTATCACTTTCGCACTGATCATACAAACAGTTGCAAAAGATCGGGACCCATCTTGGACATACTTCAATAGCTGAAACATCATTTTAGCCAACCCAAAAGAATAAAACCCCAAAATCGGTAGTTTATTTGGGGACCAAATATCACCACTGTGCGCCGTGAGGTAAAATATTCATTTTCGAATGTGAAAAGAAACGGAATTTTACTGATTATTTTTTCGATTACCATACATTACATTTTCCCGCTGGGTTGGTGTGATCACTGAGCGCAGAGCTTTTAAGTCGCTGCTGGTTTTAAGATTGTTGGAATTGTAAGAAAGATACACGAGATTTCGGTTAACGGAAATGTTACAAAAATCTGCTCACTCACATATATTTGCTCTGCCACTTCCAAAGGAGTTGATGAATCTTTCAACTTCTTCCTCGGTTTTACTAAGGCAGGGATCACACTATTTGTACAAATGTACAAATTGTACAGATTTGTAGATTTGTACAGATTTGTACATTTTGACAGTAGCAGAGTGGTGTTGTTTACAAACTTTTTATTGAGTCTGAACTCATTCTTGATGAAAATTTCTAGACAACACCACTCTGTGATTTTCAAATGGACAAATGTACAACTCTATTATTTTAGTTGAACCTCATCATTAGAGCTCGGATTTGTTGCAAAAAAATAAGCCTAAAAATATATGTCATCATAACCATAGGCAAAATACAGTCAGCGTCAAAAATATGAATACCCCGACGTACTGACGATTTCATTTATTTATATTTTCCATACCAAATTTTTCTTATTTTTTTATAAAAATATAATTCATTCAACAGCAATAATCACAAGAATCATTTTTTATTTCATATGGAACTGGGGAAAAAATTTAAGAAATAAAAATAAACGCATGAAAATTTTTATTTTTTCAACTCGATTTCTTAAAAAAATTTGAGTATGTAATTTTTGAGAACTTTTTTGTCAAGGCTGTGGTGTATTTTCTTCCATATAAGAAACGAACAAAATATATTTTTATATGGAAGAAAATGCGCAACACCCGCGGCCAAAAAAATCTCAAAAATCAACGGTAATTTTTAGCTTGCACCTCTGTTTATACTAAAATTTAATGGGCTACAAAACCAAACATCTCCTATTTTTTTTGTGTGCGTCTTAATGTTATATTACAAATGGAATATTCGGGCGAGTTCGAGGTAAATAGAAACAAAAATTCAGGTCGAAAAACAAAAATAAAAAGCTTGATATTTCAATTGTATAATTCTCATATATTTAATTTATATAATATATGTAAATGGTACAGAAATTAATTACATAAAGTATTCGTTTAAATAATTAAAACATGCTTAAATAATATTTGAACATAATTATAAAAAAAATACCATAGAAAAATATTAATAAAACAGCATATAATTAAATACAATAATATATTCATATAAACAATATGTAGCAAATAAAATTTATGTAACACATATACAATGAAGAGAAAAAAAAGAATAATAATAATGCGAAGAGCGTGAAACATTAAGAAGAAAAACTTAACATGAAGAAGTGTCGAAGCGACTTTGAATTAACTAATGGCTCATTGCTGAGGTTAGAATTTAAATTATTTATAAAGTTTTTGTTTGCAGGACACAAATGTTTTTGTTTTTTTTTCCAATTTTCGAAGACTGCAGCCACTTCAACACTTCTAATTTCTTAAATATACAATGTGTATGAAGTTAACATTTCGTTGCGTGTTTTAAAATATAAATTATTACATAAATACAAATTATGCAAATACGTAGAGTTTTTTGTTGTTGTTACAACATATTTGCAAATTTTTTTCTACAGATTTTTTTTTTTTTTTTAATATTTCTCCGCTTTATTGTTTGTTTCTTATTTTATTTAATATGTTGTTTTAAAGCGAAATAATTGAGACAAAGTGAGAGGACTTTGCTGAGGTGACTGAAAAAAAGTGTTAAGCTATTTGCGACTCTATACGAAATGGTGTAAGCATCGTCGAATTTTAGGTGTAAGACTTCACAACACCGTTGACCACTTCATAGACACGTGTGCCAAGCTTTTAAAAGCTCTGTTTATGATTTCTATATGACAAGAGAAAAATCAAAGCTTTCTGTGGACGACATTGCTTTAAAGGAAGTAACTGGAAATAAATTTTCAGAGGCTTTAATAAAGGTTTGTCAATTTTTTGAATACCGGAAAGTTGTACGGTTGTACGTTGAAACTTTTCCTATGTCGCAATGATATATTCGTTTCTAGTTTAAAGTCTCAAATTTGTTGTTTGAAAAGAGGAAGAAAGTGCAAAGCGTAGATCAAATGAGTGCAGGAATACCGATAAAATTTCCATAACTCGAAAGTATGGAAGCATGTGAAATAAAACCTCCCGGCTTCCTATTTAACTTTCAAAAATGCGATTTTTAATTTTTCTAAAATTAGTCTCTGAATATTGCCATTTACAGGTATAAGCTTTCACAGTAACAGATCTTGTATTGGGGAATTTTTTGTTTGCATTGCCCTCCTACAACTCTTTCAGCTGCCCGTCAAAGTCCTCGAAATCAAATCTTTGTTTAAACTAGTACCGTACCTTCTCTTCCATCATTTTGCTAACTCAATATTGCTAAACCGTTAGTATTTGTATGTCTGTGTGTGTAGCTATGCTTCTTAAAATGTTTTTGTGTGTTTCCTTTGACTAAATTTTCTGTTGGACTAATGCGGTTTATTGAAATTTCCATTAAATATTTTTTAATATTTTTAAGTAGTATTAATAGTAGTAGTAGGTAATGCTTTTGTGGTTGTTTTTTTTTTGCAAAATTTCTATGTATCAAAATATTAAAATATTTTTTTTTTTGTAGTTTTTGCTTATTTCGCTTTTTTGTAAGTGATTTATTTATGCAAAATTTTGGTGTTTTATGTTTAACGTTTCGTTTTAGTGAAACTGTTAGCCAACGCTTGTTGTTAGAAAAAAGTGACAAAATGTTGCTCAGACTCGGCGTGTCAATGGATTGCCATATTGCCTTTCTCCCTTTAATCCCCTTTTTGTAGAAAAAAAGTACACAAACTGCATTGCATTAAAATCCTTACTTTCGAGCACAAAACTCAATTTGCTTTTACCCCCAACACGTTTCTGCTAATTATTGCAATTACTATTTTTTTTTTTTTTAGTTTTTCTTTCACACTCATTTAAGCTAAAATAGTTTTAAAATTATGTTAAAAGCAGCAGCTGCTAATTGCCAGCAGCACAATGCTCAACTTTGCTCATAGCACAGGTCGTCATCCTTTGCTTGCGTTCACTTTCGCTCACTTCCTGTGTTCTCTCTCTCACATTTCCTGTGTTTTATTTCTCTTTACCTCTTCCTCTTGTATGCCCCCCATCGACTCAAGCATACGACATTGCGTCACCATTCTTCAAGCTTTCACTGCTCTTCTCCTTGCTAATACTATTCACCGTGGTCGTCGTCTTCTTGCCATCGCCTGACGCTGCATCCTTGTCTGTCGCCTTGGCATCTGCTGCATTCAACGCCTGTCGCGCCAACTTATGAATATGCGGTGATGATGGTGAGGTCAATGTGATTCTACAATAAGAAAAAGCTTTTGTTTTTGTATACACACAAAACGTATATCGGAAAGTGGACCACGAAAAAAGTGGTGGGTGGGGAAAGCGTGAGATTTGTGAAGAAAGTCAAATGAAAAAGGAAAACAACAAATTGAACGAAACGAACGTATGACATTCAATAAAAAGCCAATAACGTAAACGCAAAAAAAGCCAATATGAATGAGAGATAGCGTGCCAGGATGTGAATGAGCGGTTGACAATATGATATTGTTTGTATGTTTTAGTTAATGTGGCAAAAAAGCGAATTGAGTATGTAGTGAGGTTGGTGGTATTGGCAAAGACAGTAGCAGGAATGGAGTGAAGTGGAGTGGGTTGTTTAGGTGTTGAGGTGATGGTGTATAAGTGGAATACTTGATTAGAATCAAAAAATATAGATAAAATAAGTACAATTAATATATATGTACATTTGAAATTGTCTTACTTAAGTTTAGCTTAATAAAATATAAATTTTTACAGAATTTTTTCATTAGTTGACTTAGTTGGCGAAACTGTACTCCTTTCCTTTCGATTTTTAACTTTAAGATAAGTGGAGGTCTCGAAATCCCGACGTTGAATTTGCGATTGGCTAAAAATTAGACAAATGAAAACCATATGTCTTTGTCACAGCGACGAATTACAAACAACAAATTTCAGTACAAAAATTGAAAGCTTGTTTTGAAGCAAGTGGCTGCTTATTTAAAATGCATACTTTAAAAAAAAAAACTATCCCAGCCATGGGTCGTGGTATGCACTTAGGACCTGCTCAGTAAAAAAGCCAATACAATTATAAAGCTGAAATCGTCACAGCAGAGAATAAGCGATAGGACGGGCATAAAGAAGTAAGCAGCATGCGATATCGAACATAGCTGCCTTGAGATGGCGTACAAATTTGATGCGTTTTATGGTTCATCGGGTGTCAAGAATAAATTATATGTCCGATAGTCAGGCAGTATTAAAGGCTTTGGAACGACATCAGAGCTTTTGGACAGTAACGAACAATCAAGGACACGTAAAAAAAACGACACAGATTTCGATCTCAGCATATCACTCACTCTAACTGTAATACTGAAACTACTTATGGCACTTTTAATGCTGTTAAAACAAAAACAACATGACTGAAAAAGGATCCTGTAAAAGAATTTTTGGAAGTTATAAATGGACATATAAAGAATGGCAGTCGTGAACGATTACAAACAGTGACTCTCAGACTATTTTGACATGGTTTTCTTGTTACGATATTTAAAAGGTTATCTATGGTAAACTTTTTTCATACACTTTTTATAATTTATATCATTCTACAACAAAAACAAAGCAAATAAAAATTTCACACTTTGTAGAAAATTTAGCAAAATGCAATTTTATAGCCCATTAAATTTTAGTATAAATAATGCAACTATTAAGTGGTAATTTTTTTTATAATTATTACTTTTTTTTTTTTGATGACGATGTTGAGGATTTTCTTTCAAAATTGAACAAAATTTTAACTTGCAATTTAAAACTTGCACTTTTTATACTAGAATTATATGTATTTTGTAAATTTTTTTTGATGACGGTGTTAAGCATTTTCTTTCAAAAACGGAAATTTCAGCCACTGAAAACTTACACTTTTTATGCTAGAATTAAATATGCTCTAAAACTGCATACTCGTTTTTTTGTAAAAAATCGTATTCAAAAGTTTGAAATTTTGATAAAAATTTTTTGAATTTTACTTAATTTTCTCTAAAGTTTGAAATTTTTGGTTTGCATGGTTTTTGTTGTAGAAATAAAATTTACCATGAAAACTTTTTAAATATCATAAAAAAATCAGTGCAAAATACTTAGTAGAAATTATTCCATCGGGAATCATAAAGAGGAAATTCGTAATAAATTAGGAAACGTTTTTGTGGCCGATCGAATGAAAAGTAAGGTTATAAGCGATATTAAAGTTCCCCATATGTATTAAATACAGCCATAATAGCACGCATCATTAGGGCGGATGACGTTGATCTAAAGCTTAAGCATATAAGGAGCCTGGCCAAATACATTCTGAAGACAAATAAAGCTAAACACAAGCCACAGATCGTCTAACAAGAATGCCAACCATATCCGAACCAAACCAAAACGGAATGAAATTTTTTTGATTTAAAAATTGAAGCCATTTTGACATTACGACTCGATATGACATATTTAAGGATAGCACAAAATTTTCGCGTTCAATTTTATAGTACAAATTCCACAGTGCAATATAGAAATATACAGTCATACCAACTAAGCCCTTATTTTTTTTTCATTTCACCTTAGCCTTAACCTTTAAAAATAATTTGACTCTAAAAATATTACACACCACTATCAAAAAAAAAAAAACAACAAAACACTTACCTCGGACTATTGTCATCCTTTTCATGCACCAACGTTTTAGTCGAGCTCGGACTCATTATTTCACCATTCGTGGTCCGCTTCACTTTAATGGGTCGCAAACGCTCCTCTAAATCGCTCAACGTACCATCTGTGCTTTGTGAATCCTCACTGCAAAATATATGAAAATGAAGTTGGTGCAAAAAAAGTTCACTCTTCCCTGCCAATAGAATACTCACCTATCGCTCACATCATCATCGCCTTCCTCCATGGCCTGCTGCAAATCGGCAATTCGTTGCAACGCCAGTCGCAAATCATTCTTCAGTGCGGACGACTCGGATTCCACTTGTTCCAGTTTCTTTTCGAGATCTTTGCGTTTCGTCACCGACTCTTGTTCACGTCCCGCCACCACATGATACTCTTCGCGCATGTCACGCAAACTCTTTTGTGATTTCTTGAGCGCATCTTGCGCTTGCATTTCACGCCCCTTCGCCTGCGCCACATCGTTCTGTACCTTATCGAGCGTCTCTTTGAGCCGCGTCACTTGCACCTCGAGACGTGTGCGTGTGGCTTGTTCGAGGTCGAGGCGGGATTCTAGTTCTTTGGTGCGGAGTTCCAAGCTGGGAGGAGGAATAAATGCATACACGCAAATGAAATGTAAACTTGTAATCAGTCGCACATCGTTACTTACCGCTTCGATAGCATTGCTGTCGATGGATCAGCCATATTCTCTAGATTCTCCAACCGCTGCTGCAGTTCGCTTACTTGCTCCTTGAGATTATTGCGTTCTGCCTCCAGCTCGGATAGTTTGAACTCATACTCGGAAGCTGCAATCTGTTCGGTATTCAACTGCTTTACAGCCGCGCTGTATTTCTTCATCAACTCAGCCAATTCCTCTTCATTCTCTTCAATCTGCGCCTGCAACTCGGCACGATCACGATGCGCAGCATTGGCGCGTTCTTCGGCATCATTGCGACCACGCTGTGATTCCTCGAACATTGCTTGCACCTCGGCTAGTTCCGCTTCGGCTGCTTGACGTGCCTTCATGGCAAGCGTGCGCGCCGATTCTGCATCCTCGAGTTGATTTCGTAACTGCCGTATGAGCGCCTTGCCAGGCGTTTCTGCTTTTGAACGTTCCAATTGCGCTTGCGCATCCTTCAACAGCGCTTTGTATTTGCGTAGATCGCGTTTTAGTTTCTGTGTAGCAGCCTCTTCGGCTTGGCGATCCATGCGATCTTGATCCTCCATCGAAGATAGACGTCGCTCGAGTTCGTGCTTCTCGCGCAACAACAAAGTGCGTTCTTCATGCTCTGTCTCCAGTTGGCATTCCAAAGCTGTGAGCAAAAGTAGCCGAGTTGAGAAAAAAGGAGAATAAAACAAAATTTTAAATTGCGATTAAAAGAAATGCTTGCACACCTTTAATCTTCTTATAGGAGCTGTTGCGCGCCTCCTCCAACTCATCGTCACGTTGTTGCGTCTCTCGTCGTGCTTCCTTTCGCATTGTCTCCAGCGTCATTTCCAAACGCAATTTGGCTTGTTCAAGCAATTGCACCTGCCCTGCCATCTCATCCAGTTCTTCCTCTTGCTCTTTGACACGTCGGTCCAATTCATTTTTGGAACGACGCAGCTGTGCGATTTCCTCTTCGGTGCTGCCACCGAAAGTCATCTCTTCCAGTTCACGCTGTAGCGACGCCAACTTCTCTTCCTTGAGTTCGAGCTCAAGACGAGTGTCCTAAAATAGTTAGAGAAGGAAATTTTGTTAATACACACAAAAGCGAATACTGTGGGATTTATAGACAGAGATCACGACAATTATATAAAACACAAAAAATACTTTCATTACTACCCTGGAGAAAAACAATCACATAAGTAGTTGGGGAAAAGAAAGCTAGGACATGTTAGCTATTTCCCAGAAAGAAATTTCTCAAAGCAACGAAGGACTGCAACTTATCGAACTGCCGTCCCCAGTTTTAATTAAATTATTTAAAATCTATTGAAATACTCTGGCATCGGCTCAATTAACCAAAAGTTTCCGGACAAAAGCCCCAAAAATTAGTGCTAATATTGTGGTCTTCATCTACGGAAGCTTTGAATGCGATCCTACATCTGCCCCGCTTGACGTTTTTGCTCGAGAGGTGGCTACCTCTATTGCAGCATTAAAACTCAGAGAGGCAGGTTCCTGGGCTCATGGTACATCCGGCCACTCGGAAATCTTAGGGACGATGGCGCCCATACCATACCATACTTCCAAACACTGACTACTGCATACCATCAAATACATTCACCAAAAACAATAAAATTACCACACCAACTCGACAGAACTGGAGTAACAGGCCACACCGAAAGCGCAACGCTATCAACATGTATACTGATGGTTGCAAACTAAGAATGTCCTGCCTCCTTAGATAAAGTAGAGACTTGGCGCGTTGGGCATCTGTAGCTGGCTTTCATTGACAACTGCTATGCATTTTTTATTCAGTAGAAATTTGCATGTTAGAAAGGGATGCCATGACGCGCGAGTCCGTTAGCCTTTCATTTTCTCTGAATGTCGCAATGGCCAGGTACCACCCAGACAACTTGGGTGCTGAATGTCTCAGTCATCTCGTTGAGAGATCGGCGGCATTGAGCACTAACTTTTGAAGTTAGCGACATTTTTCCCAGAAATTTAATTGTCGCCTGGCTGTCACAGTGAAAATATAGATATCATGAATAAGAATCGTATCAGACTGTACCAGTGATGCGGCCTCTGAAATAGCCATCAGTACCGCATGAAAAACACTGCAGTAATCAGGAAGGCGGAAGCTGAAGGATATGCCTAACTGTTCCGAATAAACCCTAACACCAACTTTTTTTTGTCCAGCTTCGATCCGTCCTAATAATGTAGAAATAAAAACTCCCAATAATACTTAAATATCAAACCTCAAATAATGCGTCAGATTTTAACAGCAGATTATTGCAGACATGACAGGAGATACTTAGGTTTAATCGGTTGATAAATCAACATTTAAGACACTCCAGCCATTATTAATGGCCTTCGGTTCCGCCTTACTAACCATTACAGTAGAAGTATTTACACATCAGCCACTAACTTTACAACACACTAATAATGAGCTCCATTTCACCGTTAAACGTAAACAACCGTAAAATGGAACGGGCGTTGAAACGCATCAGTCAACAGCGACGATTCTGCGAAAATGTTGCGCAATAATTAGAACAAGAAATTTCCAAGTAAATAAAAGAAACAAAGCAGAATAAACGAATGAATGGAGTTAACAAAAAAAAAAACATGTGGCACGTCGTTACTCCACTTAAAAGAAGACATCACAAAATGAGCCGGTTGACCGGTTTTAAGTTGCATGCGCGCACGTGCCCAACATTACGCCACTAACGCGAAACATCAACGTTTGGTGGGATGAGGTAGAGAAAAGCGTGCAGTCCCCGCTCGGTCATGGTTTCGGTGGCTCTACGCTGCAGCAACAACTCATGCGTTCAGTTGCCGGCATGTCTAATAGTGTAATCGATCAACCAACTATGGTCATGGTTGGCAATAACTGCTACCGCTGCTGCCGCTGTTACTGCTGCTACTGGCGCTCCAGTTCAATGGTCGTCCCCTTGACCACTTGGTTGGCTGGCTGGCGCATTCATGAACTCCATTTTGCACATTACGGTTTGTAAACGTAGCGCTTTCTGCTTTCTGCTACGCGATAATTGTATTTTGTCTTTAGAGTTGTGGGCCAGTGGGCCGCTACCACAGCACATATTTATGTACATAACTGCAGCTTAACGGTTTGCCTAATTGTCATTGGTTAGCTTGTTGAGCTAAAAGCATACGTACGTATGCTCAAAGTATTTAAGTAATTAAGAGAATCTCTTACCATTTAAAAAGAGACAATGTGGAACAAACGAATTAACGCATAGCGCTTAACACTTTTAAAGAAAATTACTGTAATAATAGTCGCCTTCCTCCATTTGCTATGCGCGAGTGTAGAAGAAAGTATGCAACAGCAGCAATTTTCAATGGAAAAAGGTTAAGCTAATTTAATGTGAGACGAGAAAATAAACGAAAAAATTATGTATTTAAATAAATTATGAATTTTAGAGAGTAATTAGAGAAGTGATCTCTGGGCAATTGGAGCCATACACGCACATACATATGTACGTATATTCATTCAAGTACATCCAAATACAATTTAAGTAAAAGGGCTGCGATCTGAGCCTGGAGCCGCACCAAATGAGCTTCGGTTACAAAAGCACATAATTACAATTTTTATTAAGATAAACTCATGTTAATATGTGCATTGGAGTGGTGCAAAAATACAAAGGATAATAAACTTTTTGAAACTTTACTGCTGCCACCTCCCAGAATTATATGTATTAAAAAGGAAAAACGCGTTTTTTTTTTAATTTTGAAATCGGTTGATATTTAACCTTGTCGCCGGGGCTATGAAGTTTTCCATAAAAAAAATAATAAATATCAACTTATAATATATCTTACCAATGTAGCTAAAAAAAATGGAAATTTTGGGTTGTCAGCCATTTGAAAATTTAAAAATATTTTAAGACTCAACATAATATTTAAATTTTTGTATTAAAACTAAAAGCGCTGCAAGAGCTTTTAAAAAGTATTTAGATATGGAGTTGGCACCTTTCTAAAAGAAAAATACAACTTATGTTATCAACAAATTTATGCCTATTTAACACCGCAATATGGGCAACAAACGGAAGGTGTATGCATATTCAAAATTTGGACAAATATGTTTCTAAGTAGGGTTGCCACCCATTTATTTATGTGCCTAATGAAAGGGTTAGAATAAATGCAAATTGTTAACTTTTTTAAATAATACATATTAACAACAATTAGTTGTTTACTTAATTATCTCATCATAGTTAATAAATGGGTGGTAACCCTACGTTAAAAGAGGTAAGTCCAAAGTTTATGCATACACCTTCTTTTTCATAACCATATTGCGGTATTAAATAAGCTTAAATTTGTTAATAACCGTATTGTATTTTTTTAGAAAGGTGGCAACTCCATTGCAAAATATTTTTTCAAATCTCTTACAACGCTTTTAGTGTTAATGAAATATATTTAAATATTCTATTGAGCCTTTAAATAATTTTAAATTTTCAAATAGCTGGCAACCATATTTAAAAAAATTTTTTTAATCCGTCAAGCTGTTCGTGCATGATGTGGTTAGGAACAAATAAAATTAAAAAATTTTTTATATAAGAGCTAACATTATTGGTTATGAAAAATTAGTTGGTAAAATTTTTAAATTAAAAGGAAGCGAAATATTCTTATTCGATCAAAAAATATTGATTTTTAACGATTTTATAGCAATTCTCGAAAAAAAACGTATTTTATCCACCTAAAATACATGAAAAACTTCAACGCCGCGGCGACATGGTTAAATAACACTCGATTTCAAAACAAGAAAATATGGGTGCCATTAATTTTGATAAACATGCTTCAGTTCTAGGAAGCGGCAGAAAAAACTTTTTTGGAACAAAAACATATTCACAATTTTTGATTACAACAACAAACAAACGATATGTCATAAGCCATTTGTTTTTTCTTGTTAAACATACACACATATGTATATGTTATATGTATGCATTCAATTTCCATGAGAAATCTCTAAACGGGAAGTCAACTCCCCCGCAGTCATTATACAGTCAATGATGACGAACGTTGAAGGCGAATTCGTTTTACAAGAATAAAATAAATTGTTGATAACTGAAGACAGGAAACCAAACGCACTGCTGATTGTGGTTTCCGTAGATAAGATTACTTAAAATGTAAAAAAGCTTTGTAGTAATTAAAAAAAAAAATTGTATGCATTTGTATAGAAATTAATTCATTATTGACGCCAAGAAATACTTTGTCGTTGTGGCGTAAGACCACAATTTTGTTGCTAGAGAATTTTTGATTTCAGGAAAAAAATAAATAAATTCAGGTGACTTTCATGAGCTTTATGTACACCATAAAGCTAACTCATTAGGGAACGAAAAAATGTCCGACAAGTTGTGAGCAGGGCTCGGATTTTGATGCAATGTCATCTTTGAAGCTTCGGAGGCGTTTTCTAGATATGAAAAAGTTCCATTCGTAGGTTTCCTAATTGTTCGATAAGCTCGATTTTTCATTTTTAGAATAACACGTTTTTTTGTTGTTACGCAATTTTTAGCTATTTTATGCCATTTTTTATTTTTAAGTTTTTATCATATCGTACGTATGTAACTATTTATTTAATTTTTTTGTAGAAGATGACATGGAAAAGAACAAAAGTAGTTAAACTTTCTTTCAAAGAAATCATGAAATTTAAACTTTTTTCGGGGCATTTTTTTTCAGTTTTTAGGTAATTTTTAAGGATAGTTAGGAGCCTTTTTTAATTTTTAAGGTCATTTTTTTGCTGGTTCTCTGGTCATAGAAATACCAGCCCTAGTCATGAGTGACTAGAGCTATAGTACTTATGCACATATGCATGTGGTCCAGCCTTGTCGTCTTGGAAGACAAGGTATTTCAAGTTAATTCATTCTGAACCAAGGCACATTAAACAGGTAGTATCAGTAGAGCAAAAACAACATTTGCGTGTATTTTGTTGTTGCTTCTGGTATCGAAAGTGTCAAAAACTGTTCTGAATTTTTTCTTCTAAATCAAAGCGTGCCATGTGAAATACAAAAAATTAT